TATCCTTTCAGACTTCTAACTTAGTCATTATTGATTCCAGACTAATTTACATGTTATTAAGGTTACATAATGACCTTAAAGGAAGACTTATGGTCGTGGGAGAAAGACAGTGGGGAAGGGAGGTATTTATTTGGTTTTCTTAAGGGCTTGGAAGTAGTTACTTTATTCTTTGATATTGTAGATAAATTATTCTTTTGGTACCAGATTGGTTAATTTCCTGCCCAGATTATATTTGAGTGGACTGCCTGCCAGGCTGTCACACTATTGTGCTTTAAAACACTGGTTCCTAACAGTGCCCTGCAGCCAATCTATGAAAATGTGTCAGGTAAAAATGGTGCTGTTTTTAACTGAATTTAGTAGAGACAGTGGGGTAAACTGTGAGTAACTTAAAAGACTGACAAACCAAACCAGCTAGGTGACCAACTGGTGGTAAACTGTGAATGAATTCTTGTATCTCTGCAGGTATGTGATGGGAAAGTATCTGTCCACGTTGTCGAAGGGGATCACCGCACCTTGCTGGAGGGAGTTGGCGCTGAATCAATTATTGGGATCATCCACAGCTCACTGGCAGAGCCACGTGTCAGTGTCAGGGAGGGTTAACTTCTGCTTACTCACTGTCAGTGAAGAAAATGCCAACAACATTCCTAGTTATGACAGACCCCAAGGAACTCTTCCTGGTTCAACATCTTATCTGCTCTGCTGCCAGAACTGGGAAGTCCAGCTGTACTCAACTGGTCTTTTTCTTTCTCTTTCTTGCTTATCTTTTCCCAACTTTTATGGGATCTCTATCTCTTTCCTTTCGTATGCTGTTTTCCCCCTAGTAACCTTGTCCATGTTACTGTAGTGCTGTGATTCTGTCACTGTGCACTACTGTAAGGGTTCCCCCCGATGGTTGCTTCCAACACCCTTGGCAGTATGAAAAACAAATCTAGGAGTAGATTTCTTGTGCTCTATATTGTTATTGTCTTAACAGTATTCCAAAGGGTATGTGATAGCACTTGTTGACCAAGCCTAGTGAGCAGAGAGAGAGGAGTGGAGCTGCAGCTGATTTTGGAGATACTTTTTGTCTGTGAAGAATCTGTCTGCAGTTTAGATCAGAAAGAGAATTCCACTGAGGGTTTTGTAACTATATTTTTTAATTTGCTATATTCTAAGTATTTATTGTGTCAAACCAGAGACTTCTTACTTGGTTTTAATTTATCATGGGTTATAAGAGAAAAGAAACATCCCTTTTTGGAGGGAAAGATTTATCCTACAAGGGAGACTTGCCCATTTGTTAAACAAAAGTGCGTCTTTGGAATAGTCTGGTTTCTTGTTTGGTTTGTTCTTTTTTCTCCCACTGCCCTGCCCTGCCCTGTTCAGAAAGGAAAAGGTAGAAGGAAAGACTCTTGTCATCATCCACTCTTCTGAGGAGAGAAGGGCCTGGGGGGATAGGGTAGATGGTTTGACAGATGCCCCTGTATTGAACAGCCTTAACTTGGGCATGATAAAAATAGACAGAGGTGTTCCTAGGCCAGTACTTTGTTTATATTTGTGCAAGGTTCTGTGCCCTCCTGTATCAGAACCTTAGTAAAAGATTATTGCTTTACCTTATTTCCTCCCCCCTCCAGTCTCGCTACCCAACCAAATATTTGGAATGTGGGAGCAGGGAATAGAATTCCTTAACAACTGAATTAATCCCCCACCCCTGCTCTCATATAACCAAAGCTCAGGCAAACATACAAGTATCTAAGAAGCCCCTGTATATTTTATTTAGCACGGGCCTTGTGTATTCATTTTCCTTTCAGTCATGAGACTGGAGATCCCACATAAGTTAGCCAAGTAATCAGTTTGATGGTATGATTTTAAAACATAGTTCCTTTTTAAAGGAAACTTGCATAAAATTCAATTGAAAAATTTCTTTCCTTTGCTATGGTGAATCTGTCCTTTCCGAAATCAGTAAATCCTTGCTACACTTATGATACAGAGGAGACCTGGCTAGCAACAAAGCACCAACTAGGAGGAGCTATTGTGCCTCTCAGAACTGCTGTAAAACCCCAGTTTGCTCCATCTTCATCCCCCAGTGAAGCATCTTGGTAGTACAGTAGCATTCCAGTGACAGGAACAGATGGCTCTTCACTGCAGGTTCTGACCTAGTGTCTTTTGCTTATACCACCCTCTGTTGATAGTGGCTGGGTTAACTGGTTTTAGTTTTATAAAGTATTTCTTTTGTGAAATCTGAAATAAAACAACATAATGTCAGCTTAAACCATTTTGAAATGTTCTTTTTTTCTTTTAATTAATACTTTTTGGTCTGAAGACTGTCTTTTTCTCTTTGGCTTTCCTAGTATTAAACAGAATTGATCACTGGTTGGCTTTTTGTCTTATTTCTACCACCATTTCTTAAATTTGTGTTTCACCTGGAATCTCTCATTTCGTGGTATCAAGCAAAAACTGCTGCTGGCATATCTGATTTGGAGTCTAGAGAAATAATAATAATAATGAGTATACTGGAGTATGCCTTTTGGGGCCCTGATTTTGGCACCTTAGATACAATTAATATACAACCACACTATTGAAGTGAAAACTCTCAGCTTCTAATTCTGGCTCTTGTTGTATTGGACAAACCATAAATGCTCCTGCCTCAGTTTCCTGATCTGTAAAATGGGACAACAGCATCTACCACGGGGTCAGTGAGAGGGTTAGACAAGCAATCGGGGTAAATGCTGTGAAGTTTTAGGTGTGAGGACTAGGTGTTAGTAGCAGAAGGAGAAAAGTGGGTAATGTGGGATGGGGACATGCCTTACAGCTGCAAAGAATCCAGTGCTGGAGTGGCTATGAACTGTGTGCATTCCATGGGGCTTCATCAGATCTCCACTACCCTGTCTCTGCATATACTGGCACAGGGTACTACATAAAACAGATGGAGACTGATTGGTTTGGTTTAACTACGGGCAGTTGTAGTGAGCCTGAAAAAAAGGAGTTGAAAGAATCTCACTTGGTTGTATTGAAAACCTAGAAGGAAAAAGAAAGGAGTAACTAAACTTTGGGCAAACAGGTACAATATTTCTCCACTAAAGTCTTTAATGTCTCCGAATGAGTTATTTGGAGGGAGAAAGGACTAATGCTGTCCCATCCGTTGCAGCAGGATTTGGACAAGTTCTCTGTATAACAAATGTGCACAGTTTCATCTAAGCAGAGCTTGAAGATACTGGTTTAGTCACAGAGGATCAAGAATTATTTACGGCTTATATGCTCTCAGTGTTCTTGTGGTGGTTATTTGAAAAGCAGAGGGTTGTTTGGTTGTTTTTTTTCCCACAATTGCCTAGTTATGAGCTGCTGCCCTGTTAAGCCATTATATAATTGGCTGCTGAATTCAGTGTGCCAAAAAATAAAAACCTTATGAGTGCTGGTACTGCCTGTTGTTTCTCAGTAGTCCATCAGACAGACATATTATTCTAATAATAATACCAGAATGCAAAATCCAATACTGCAGTTGCTTGTTTTGAGAAGACAAGGGCAGAAGTCTTTCACACCTGCTCTTCTCTGTGAATGTGAAGTGGGGACTCTTGTCAGCTGATACGTTCCATCTTCCTTTTCAGCTACCTTCTCAAAGGTAAAGACCATGATGTTGTTAATCTCAAGACTGAAGAACAGTCCTCTGACCCCATACACTTATTTAGGCTCACAAACTTACACTGTCTTTCTGAAATGATGGGCCATATATCTTAAATCTGCAATAGGAAGAGTAAGAATGTATGGCACATAGCATATATCGTCATCGGTATTAAAGCTGTTCTTCTCTATCCCCTTCCTGAAGGCAAAGAAATACACCTCTCTTGCTGAAGATAGTAGTTTAAAAAAAAAAAATGCAGGAAGAGTCATAGTTCAATAGAACTCGTGAGCCTTTAAATAGCACTAGACAGAAGAAGTAGAGAAGTTTTCTGGTGCTGAGATGGAGGGCAAGTAAAACCCAAAAGATTTAAGGTAGAATAGTGATAAAGGAAGTAGGTGTTTGTTTCTCCTGCGCTTCTTAACTGAAGATCAGACATCATGCCAGCATATTGGGGTCAAACAAAAGAAAAAATATCCCTGGAGCAGCTGCATGAGAGGCAGTTGGGACTGCTGAAGGAAGGTTGGAGAGGCTGTGTATTGAAAATAGCGGAACTGGTTGTTTATACTGCTGAGGGCAACAAAAGATGGTAGAGAAAAATTAGAAGCTTGCAACTTAATTCTTTCTTGCAGCGAGTTCACCATAGCCATGAGTGCTAGAAAGTTAGGGAGGGAGAAAAACGTGGGCTTTGACAGTGAACTTTGAACTGTAAAGGCTGTGAATGGACAGTAACAAACTTACTGAGCAGTTGGAGTGTACGTGTAACCCTGCTAGGCTCTGATTTTTTTTATAGTATCGTAATGATTTTGAGTTTTTCCGTTTTGAAGAAAGAAAGCCCTGTAACTCAAGTTATATTGATGTTTTGACTGGAGTAGAGACGCAGCATTTTTGATGTTCTGGAAGGTACTGGCTGAGAAAAGTGGAAATCCTCCACTGTGCTCGACCTGGTGATGGTCAGTAGCTTTATAAAATGATGCAGAATGAGCGGTTTTGTCGTGATTGCTGTTATATTTGGTTCAGCCGGTTCGATCATTTCCAACTCTCTGCCCTGGACACCAAGAACAGGGCAAGCCCCTCAGTCGGAGCTCTTGCACTCCTCAGTGATGGCGCTTTCCCTCGGTTCCTGCTGGGACAGGGGCCAAAGGGTCCAAAGAAACCGCCCGCGGGGCCTCACGCTCAGCGGAGGCGGCCTCAGGGACAGGGGACGGCGGGTTCCCGCGGGGCTCACGGTACCCCGAGGAAGCCGCCCGGGCCGTCCCTCGGCAGCCGCTCCTCAGGAGCCGCCGGGGCGCCGCAGCCGGGCCTCTTCGTGCGCGGCCCCTGCTGCCAGCGCCGCGGTTTCCGGAGGGGACAGCGCGCGGCTGCACCGCTGCGCTGGCCGGAGCGGGATGGCGGTGGTACCGTCCGGCAGCGCTGGGGCCCGGCCCGGGCCCAGCGGTCGCGGAGCCCGCGGGCCTCAGGCCCGAGCCCCGGGGCGGCGGCGCGGGGCGGCGGCGGCCGCAGCGCTGCACGGGCGGCTGCGCGGGAGATGCCGAAGCTGCGCGGGGAGGCCTTCTGGAGGGAGACGCTGCGGAGCGCCCATTACGTGGTGGCGCCCATGGTGGACCAGAGCGAGCTGGCCTGGAGGCTGCTGAGCCGCCGCCACGGCGCCCAGCTCTGCTACACGCCGATGCTGCACGCCCAGGTCTTCCTCAGGGACGCCAACTACCGTCGCGAGAACCTCTACGGCGAGGCCTGTCCCGAGGACCGCCCGCTCATCGTACAGGTGAGCGCGGCCCCCGCCCCGGCTGCCGGAGGAGCTGCCCCGGGCTCACCGTGACATGCTGCTCTTGGGCAACGCAGCGAACGCAAGTCAGCACTGCCAAAGGCGCCCGCGCCTGCCTTCCTGCTCGTGTTAACAAATCCAGGCGTTTTCCAAATGTGCGTGAGTTGAAGCTAGTCAGGTTCATTCAGATTTTAACGTGGTTGTGTAGGACGAAATCTCATTTCTTCACCGAAATACCCCCGAAAATACTTAGTTCACAAAGATGTGTGTTTTTCTGTTTACCTCATGTGTACGAGAGGATTTGGTGTCTTAACCACAGGGGCCTGGAGCACTGGACTTCTCACAGGGTTTCAGTCCCCTGCACTTCATTTTTAGAGAGAGATTACAACTGGTCTTGTAGAGTCGAATTGTGCCCCAGATTCGACACCACTCAGGGAGGATCACAGTTTTTTGAGTAGTTCTCTGAAACCCCAAGCTCGGTTCTTAGCTACAGAGGAAGGATGCAAGGAAGATAGGAAGGCTTAAAGAAAGCATGTTTTGCTTCTGCTTCCTGAGTACTGTGTGATGTTCAGGTACTTCACTCTGTTCCAAAGAGGAGAATGGCTTGTGGAGCTGGAGAATAATGCAGGGAAAGACAGTTGTCATGAACAGAGGAATGGCTGATTTCCAGATGTGGAACAGTTAAATGGGTGAGGACTCTTCACCCTGGAAGAGATGAGAGAAGTCAATGGAAGTATTACTGGCTTGAAGATGACACCTGGGAGACGAGTAAGTGTAGTGATAGTTATAAACTGCAGAATTCATTACTGGATTCTGAAATATTACATGAGTTTAGAAAGTAAATGAAGGAAAATAGTTGAGGGTCTTTAGGTGCAGCAAACACACCTGCTTTCAGAGTTCCTAAAGACACTTTTCAGCTTCTGTTGTTGCCTAGACATCTGTTGACCTTTATAAGAGCAGGATGAGGTGGACCTTTGATCTCAGTACAGCTTTCACAGAATGACATAATATTCTGAGTTGGCAGGGACCTACAGGGATCATCAAGGCTGTCTTTTGAGTGAATTGCAGGGATTGAACCCACAACCTTGGTGTTATTCACACCACACTCTGACCAACTGAGCTAATCTCAGGGTCTGGCGTATTATTCCTGTGTGGGAAGTTTCTTTTGCCACAGAAAAATACAAGAAATTCAAGTCATCTTAGAAAGCTGTAAGTCACAGATCTTCAGTTTAGTAAGCTGTGTGTTCCAGGGGCGACTGCCTGAAGAGGGTGACTTACTGTGAGCTTGCTGTGTTATCTTTCTTCCCACTGGCCACTATTGGACATAAAGTACAGAACTAAGCAGAGTAATCTTTGGATTGACCTAGTGCAATAATCCTTACAGATTTGGTCACAGACTCTTGGGATTAGATTAGGCAGAGGTACAGCCGAGCTCAGCCTGCTCTGTAGGCTTCGTTACAGTGTAAACATCCTCACTATGTGGCTTCAGTTGGAGGCTTTCCATTGTTTCAGTCATCTCATAGAAAGCAAGTGATTTTTTTTTTTGTTTAATTGGTGCCAGCCATAATTTATGTAGTGCTATAGGTTTAAGTAACACCTTCTGCTCAGAAGTGTTTGAGTTCAAATTTTGTTTCAGTTTTATTTAAAGATGTGATGGCATTGATTTTTGTTAGTAATGAATTTTAGAAAATCTGTTTGAAAGCACAAATGAGAAGAATAGTCTGACTCTGTCCTCTCCAACAAAGCAGTTTCAAATTAATCTATTTCTTCTTAATAATTTCATTTTTGCACTGTGCTTTAAATGTAGTGTTAATTGTATTTAAGACTGAGCATTTGACTAATAGTCCATGTGTCTGTTTCACATTCCATGCTAGTGGGAATTTGGTTTAGACGCAGTAGTGCTTATTGGTATCTACAAAGTTTGAGTTGTCTCAAGACCCAGGACACTACAGGTAACTCTTTTCCTCTGTACCACTTTGATGTAATAGAATGCTGCAGCTGTTTGTTCTACAGGGAATTTTAAGAGTTGTTCCAGCTTATTTTAGAGTACCACATGTAAAATATTCATCAAATATTTCTTTGCCTCTTGAATGCTCATTTTTCGCATTTTGTCATTTAAAGGTTGAGGATCTTTAGCTGATAAGTGTCACAGGTTTGGTCTGGGTTTTTTTTCATAGAATACCCTGAGTTGGAAGGGACCCACTAGGATTATCAAAGTCTAACTCCTGGCCCTGAACAGGACACTCCCAACAATCCCACCCTGTGCCTGAGAGCATTGTCCAAATGCTGCTTGAGCTCTGGCAGCCTTGGGGCTGTGACCACTGCCCTGGGGAGCCTGTTCAGTGCCCAACCACCCTCTGGGAGAAGAACCTTTTCCTGAGATCCAACCTAAACCTCCCTCGACACAGATCCAGCTGTTCCTTGTCACTGATCACCAGAGCAGAGATCAATGCTGTTCCTTTGCTGTCCCTCTGCTGCCCCTCGTGAGGAAGTTTTGGACTGCTGTGGAATCTCCCCTCAATCTCCTCTGGGCTGAACAAACCGAGTGATCTCAGCCACTCCTCATATGGCCCCTACAGGCCCTTCACTGTCTTCGTAGCCTCCTTTGGACTCTCTTTAATCTTGTTTATACTGTGGCACCCAAACTGCCCCCAGGACATGGCTGGCCTTCCTGGCTGCCAGGGCACTGCTGACTCATGTCTAACTGGCCACTGACCAGGATCCCCACCTCCCTTTCCTGGCACTGTTCTCCAGCATCTTGTTCCCCAGTCTGTCTGTACATGCAGCATCACCTCATCCAGGTACAAGATCTGGCACTTGTCTTTGTTAAACTTCGTATGACTGGTGATTGCCCCAGCCCTCTGATTTGTCAAGGTCTCTCTGCAGGGCTTCTCTGCCCTCGAGGGAGTCTATAGCTCCTCCCAGTTTAGTATCACTGGCAAAGTTACAAGTCATTTATGAAGATGTGGAAAAGCTCTGGGCTGAGGATGGAGCCCTGCAGAACCCCAGTAGTGACCAGTTGCCAGCCTGATGTCACCCCATTCACTGTAGCCCTTTGCACCTGACCTGTGGAGCAGTTGCTCACCTATCACATGATGTGTTTATCCAGCTGTGGGTTGTGAGAAACAGCGTCAAGTGCTTTACTGAAATCTGAAAAGAGTGTATCAAATGGCTTCCCTTGATCATTTTGAGAAATGATGTTTGCTGTTATTCACTGTGCATATTACACCTGTTTTATGTAGCCGATAGTTGCTTCATAACTACATCACAATGTGTTGTCAGTACCTGAAGAAAGCTATTGCCTGATTATTCTGCTTTTCTTTGGTTTTCACAGTTCTGTGCCAATGATCCTGAAGTGTTTGTTCAAGCAGCGCTGTTGGCTCAGGATTACTGCGATGCCATAGACCTAAATTTGGGTTGCCCCCAAATGATTGCAAAGAGAGGTATGTGCAAACCTGAACCCTGAATAAACAGAGAAATGGCATGTTCCAAATGTGAACATTGGCAGTAAAACATGAAGAGGGACAAGCCTTGGGGAGGAGCTGCAGAACTGCTGAAGTCAGACTTAGTTACACCCACTGTACCAGGTAATGCTTTGTAGTACCTAAAGCAAAATTCAGATATACTAATAATTAATTCCCATTTCTTTTAAGTGCTAGCTCCTCTGTCTAGAATATTCTTCACAAAAAGTGTTCTTAGTAAGAGCTTGATTTTTCTGATTTCACTTGCTCAAACAGCCTAATTTTGAAAAACTACCTCTGAAATTACATCATGCAGGCACTTAGCATCTGCTATTTCCTTGATACTTGCACAGAGTTTATTCACAGTAGTGCAGAAGAGGACACCTGCTGAATACCTTAGAGACACTGCATGTTTGAAAACCAAAGTCTGTGTTTGGAAATTTGGGATCAGTTAGGATGTTGAGGAAGATGTGTTCAGTAAATGCCCATTCCTCTTCTAAAATGTCTTTCAAACACTAGTAGGAAATGATCAGTGGTGTACAGAGCAAATAGATCTTTCAGTCTTACCAGCTTTTATCCTAACTGATGTTTTTTTTAAACATCTGATATAAACCCCTGAAAATTGGACTTTGAGCTGCCCATGTCAACACACCAGCCCTAGGGAGTACAAGTGAAAGCAGGGTGTGGGGATTCCTTGTTTACCCTGTAAATCTAGTGTGGCTGGGGGAACAGAATGATCCAGCTTCCAGTTGGGGCAGGACAGAGCAACTCTATTTCTGCCGATGAGGCATATGAGTATCTGGATCATTGTATGCTAGTGTTTATGAAAGCTGTGTGCTTTAGGATCTTACTCCTCTGCATAGGTCTGTCTTATGCTATTTTATCATAGGTCACTATGGAGCATTTCTACAAGAAGAGTGGGATCTTCTTCAGAGAATGAGTAAGTATTTAGAGAGAGAATCAGAAGAACACGTAATTGAGAGGAGCTTTAGGGATTTTTGGGGAAAGGAGGTTTCTTTGGGGAGGGTTCTATTTAGGTTCTGGGAGGTTTTTTGCATTTTTTTTTCTTTCTTTCTTGCTGTAATACAGTGGCGGCCTCAAGATACTTGGTGGTATCCCACTGCAAACTCATACTAGATCTGTTAAAAGACTTCAGTACTTCAAACGGATTTCAGGTGAAAGTGAGTCAATTAAGTTCCAGTCTCATAAGAGGGCTCAGTGACTCTCCAACTCTAGAAACAGTGGAACTCCCAGTGCCTTACTTTTTCACTTTGAAGTTCTCAAGTGCCAAGAGACAGGTTTCTGCTTGAAGTCACAGTTGCCCTTTTCTGATCAATTCAGTGTACTCCTTCTGTCCACAGCATAGCAAATTATGCCTTTCTTCTCCTAATTTGTGTAGGTTGTTTTCAGGCTCTCAGTAGCTATTGTGAACAGTATCATATTTTTTTAAGAAAAATGTTTGTAATTGATGTAAAAAGCAAGGTTTTGGTCACTGTGTAGAACTGAGAATGTGCCTCCACTTCCCTGGAAGCAAGTGTCTGAACCATGAAGTTAGAGAGTCTTATTTCTGTTTGCATTCTCTGTGGTCTGGGGAATCCTGAGTGGTGTTTGGCACAAAGAAACTGCCAAGAACCTGGGAAGAGAGACGATGCTTCCTTGCCCAGCATGTAATGTGGCTGTTGTGAAAAATGCAAATCAGAATAGGCTCAAGATGTGAAGAGAACCCAGGTCATCTAGTTGGGTGGGAACCCAGGCTGTCCAGTAGGAGAGTTATCTTACATTGTGGTCTTCTTTGTCCTTCCCCCAGCTGCCTTTAAAATCTTGGAGTTCTCTTTTCTGCCTGAACCTATATATACCTCGCTTGTGTGCTCCTTTGAAAGGGTGATAAGGAAGTACTTATCACTGTAGCTTGTAGGATTTGGGTTAGAAGACAGCAAATGACTTCCTACATTGTACATCCAAACTCTGGAAGAGAAGAGAATTTCAGAGATACCCTTACTCAGTGTTTTCCTATTGGGCCTCTTTTTTAGTATTTTTGTGATTCCATGCACTGTGTAAGGACTATGGGAGTTTAACATCTTCTAGATTTCACCTTGACTCCGTGATCTGCATTTACTACTTAGTTGGGTCCACAGTCTACCTCAGTTGATAAGCCTCTGCTTGCCATGGACAAGACTCTACTTGTGAGGATTATTTAAGTGATAATTTGCAGAGAAGCAAAGCACCTTTCATAGGAAAGGTAGACAAGCAAGTGTTAACATTGGAGGAGTACAGTAGCTTGTGATAGTAATAAACTTGTATCAGTAATTAAGTTTTGAGGGGATGGTCATTGAAAGTGAAGGTTTGATGTGGTGGAAACATTATGACTATTAAATGGTGACTATTTTATGCCACCTTGTAAGAATGCAGATTTTGTGCTTTATGTTTTACTGTTACTTGATTAACCTATGCAATAAAGATTGCGGAGGATGCTGCTGATTTTCTAAGCTGTGAGAACTACACAGCATGAACTTTTCAGGCTTTTTCCATACCAAGCGTGGTATCAGATCTTGAGGAGAGTAGACACTTTTCATAGCATTGTGCAGCCCACTTACCTGTCCTTTCAATCTTTCTCAGTTTTACTGGCTAACGAGAAGCTCTCTGTTCCCATCACATGCAAAATCCGCATTTTCCCAGACATTGACAAGACAGTGAAGTATGCACAGATGCTGGAGAAAGCTGGCTGCCAGGTAAGGAGGCAGCTGCTCCCTGTATTCTTGCATTGGACATGTGTTTGTGTCAAGTATCTGATGACCAGTTATTGGTGTACTGTGGAGATGAATAGGCAGAGATACTGTTTTGCAGACAGAGCAAATAGGATACAGTGAGTATGTGTTTTTGCAATGCCAGGCAGCAGGTCAGTAGCATGATACAGGAGACATGATGATTTCGGTCTGTTGTAATCTCTGCATCCTTTATTATGCTTGAGCATCTCAGTTTTCGCAGAGTGCTGCAGGAGGCAGTGTAGGACTGTAGGAAAAAAGGATATCAAAGATGACCACCACTGCTGAAGAAAGAGGCAGCCTTCTAGGATCTAACTCCAGTTAAACTGGAAGAGATGGTCTGTAGTTAGAGCCAGTAGTGACAGTATTTGGACTTTCTGCTGACGAGAAAGCTAGATCAATATATCACGAATTCCAAAGCGAATCACAAATGGAATCCACTGCAAAAGAAAATCCGTAAGTTCTCCCATGATACAGTCTTGTCATGCCATGGCATAGCAAACTGAAAGGAGCCCAAGACCATGCCATGGCAGGTGAGCTGCTGACATCTTTCTGTGATGCTAAACTCCCTGCACTGTTGAAATAGCAGTGGGAATTCAGTGCTTTCATGAAGTGTATGGGGTGAAAGGAAATTTTTGTCAGTGGATTTGTTCCAGTGTTTCATACCCGTGAAAAATAAAGGTAGTTTTGTGTTCCAGCTGCTGACTGTGCATGGCCGTACCAAGGAACAGAAAGGACCACTTGCTGGCGTGGCATCTTGGGAGCACATTCAAGCTGTCAGGTTAGTGAGCAGTACCAGTTTTATTGGATTCCTGCTAACACACTGGATTTTAAGCAGAGTGTGCAGTGGCATTGAAGAGCAAACAAATTTATGTGACAGGAGAAGAATTTGTAGGTTGATTCAAATTCTCAGTTTTATGCATCTCTTTTATTCACTGGTATAGAAAAGCTGTAAACATTCCTGTATTCGCAAATGGAAACATCCAGTGTCTCAGTGATGTGGAAGAATGTATCCGTAAGACAGGAGTACATGGCGTCATGACTGCAGGTAAAGAAAATGAACTTTTACTCCTAACAGATGAGAATACAAACTGTTTCTTATTCTCTTAGCAACCTCATATACATTTATTAAAAGCTTATGTCAGATTGACTTGGTAAACAGCTTTGATTGACAGTTGAGTGGCCATTCTCTCTCCTCTTATATTGGCCATCTCTTACCAGGACCAGGAATCACTTAAGATCTGTAAGAACTGTTATGCTGGATTTGCAGTACTGGACAGTTCAAATCTAATTACTTGGCAAAGGCATATGGGACTCCTGTTTTCCTGGAATATTTTCATGACGTTTGTTAATCAATGGAGCAGTTTTTGAATGTTCTTAGTTAACTAAGTGGGTCTGTGGATTAATATTCTGCAGATGGTTCATGTTGGGTTTGGACAAGAAAGAATTGACATAACTTCCTACAGGAAGCACTAGGATAGGCATCAGAAAGAGATTCCAATCACTCACACAGTTACAGCAATGAAGGATATTTTCTGGGGGGTTGTAGAATCTTGGTTTTAGAAAGTAGTTGTTAACAAAAGGCTTGTGAAACCAGTAGAGAAAAGCATAGTAAGAAGCTGTATCTGTAAACTTAAGCCAGACAAATGTCAATACAGACATAAGGTAAGACTGGTTGTTTAAGTATTTAACCATTGGGCAACAAAAGCAATGATCTCTCTATTTATTAAATTTTTTACTGTTTTTGTGTCTAGATGCCTTTCTAGAAACTGTGCTTTAATTAGATTGTAAGGTAAAACGTACGCAGGTATCCTTCCCAAAAAAGCCAAGGCAGTTGAAGGATTAAAAAAAAATTTCAAATGCAAGGACCACTTCTTAAGGATGCTGCACACACCAGGGCCCCTGGAAAAAAAAGGCAACGCCCTGCCTTCTTCAAGGCTTTTTGTATCTTCTTTCTCTCCTCCTCCACGCTCTCTGGCCTGAGGAGGCCTTGTACATGTCTGCAGGCATGTTATCTCTCTGCATACTAGGGAGAAAGACAGATTGCTCACAACTTCTTCTTGCAACTTTGTCTGACATGCAGAAGGAAGAAACAAAATATCTAACCCCTTTAAGAGGGCATTTTGCAGTCTTACTGAGCGGAACAAGTTCTAGCTTTCTGTTACAATTTCTTGCACAATTGCACCTGTCTCCACACAGGTATGAGCAGTTTGGCTCAATTAAGAATTGTATAGTGAAATATAGTGTCCTGAGGTGAGGCTAGAGTTTTACAGATCCTGTGTCCCTCTTGTGAGTACATGGGTGATGTGTCTGTGACCGGCTGGTAGAATTACAACAGATAGAGCTGATCAATCTGCAGATTTTGTTTTTTGTTTAAATCCTGAAATGAAAGTTTGAGTATTTCTTTTTATTCCCTAGAAGGTAATCTTCATAATCCAGCTTTGTTTGAAGGCCGAAACCCCTTGGTGTGGGAGATGGCTGAGGAGTATCTGGAGATAGTGCAGAAGTACCCTTGTCCATTGTCTTATGTTAGGGCTCATCTCTTCAAGCTCTGGCATCACACGTGAGTATCTCCAGAGAACTCTTAATGTTTTTAGGGCTCATCCTGCTTATCAAGTGTCTAGGTTTTCTGGACAAGGATTTGTTGGGCCAGAATGAGTCTTCTGCAAGGTTTTCTTTGCTGGACTTGGCTGGAGAGGATGTGGGCTGAGGCCTTTACCCATCACATCATATCTGGGAAACAGGGCATGAGGAATGAACAAGCTGCCCCAAGACAAGCTGGGGTGTGAGCTCACAGCACAGCAGCTGCCATGTGGTAATTCCCCATATGCACACATGCCCTTCATGGCAAGCATGAGTTAACTCACTCCATGTTTACTGTGACGCAAAGTGCTCTTGCATTTGTTGTGAAGCAAAAGCATGGCCATGGCCAGTTACTGAGGAGCAACTGATGCACTATATATTCATGTGAACTTATCTCAAAGTACCTTGGTTGTATTCTAAGTATTTATCTGGAAAAGAGGTATGTGTGCTTCTCTGGATTTACAGGAAAGAACATAAGCTTTTACCAAAGGCAAGTGCACTAGGAAAAATCTATAAAAAGCTTTTATAAAGATATTTTTAGTTGATCTCAGTCTAAATATGACTTGATGTTTGGGATTTGCCTCAGGCTTCAAGTTTACCAGCAGCTGCGTGAAGAATTAGCAAAAGTGAAGACGCTAGAGGGGATTGTAGATGTCAACAGAGAGCTGAAACTGCGATGCCAGGTACCAAGATGGGCCCCAGTCTCCCAGAACTGTCAGCACTTGGTGGGAATCTACCACGTGTCATGCAGTTGACACTCATTAGTCACTTTTTCTGGAACTTTGTGCCTTTACCAACCCTGATACTGGTAATCTGCTGCGGTAGCATCCCCTTAAGCCTGAACGTTACATAGGATAAAGTTGATTTAGGAGTTACAAGTATGCTTCAATTCACCTGTCTTAGTAGAGGGTTTTTTTGTTTGTAACAATTGTCAATAATTGTTAGCTTGTTTGTGATTTCCTGGAGTTTGAAGTGTTATGCCTGAGAACTCCAGGAAAAGTGACTGTTACTCTGTGCTGCAGGAAGAAATAGCTAATCAGAAAGAAGGAGAAAAGCCAAAAGAAGGGTTGCCTTTTTTCCACTGGATCTGTCAGCCATACATCAGGCCAGGGTGAGTCATCTATTCTGATACTTGGAGGTATTCATAGACCTTTCACACCCATTCTATCAGTTATCAGCCACTAATGCTGTTCTAGAAGCTTACATTCATTGAAAAACAATGAAGACTTCGAATTATTTTTATTCCGTTTCTGTTTTTTCGTGGTTATTATTTTGTTCCTGGGGATGTTGCTCATTGTTTGCATCTTCTCCTTTAGATCCTCCTCAGATTTCTCTCTCTCTCTGGAAAGTAAAAACCATGAATTCCACTGTAGCTCAAAAAGAGAACCTGATGTGCAGCAAATATGCTACCTGACAGTGCTTTATTGTTATATGCAGCAGAGATGTTGCTGGTAACTACCATGGTAGCAAAGATGGAACTAAATTGTATTGTATAAAGGATGCTTGTAGTGTATGGACACTCTTCAGATAGTTTATTCCCTTTCTGCTGAAAGCTGGGCTGAAGAAGAGAACGAGAGTGTCAAGATTATTACTTAAATAAATACTTTAATAAATGCTTAAGTTAAACCTGTGAAGGGTAGGCTAACAGGTGCCTAATTTAACTGGCCAACTTTAATTGACTCTCTAACTGATACATCTGACAGTGTGTTATTAACTGAACAAAAATTAAGTTTTTCTCTCCCACTTTTAAGGGCAATGACACTTTCTTGTAGCCATGGTAGAAAGGTTTACAGTTTACCCAGATTTCAGTAAAGCACAATAGTAGCCAGGGAACAGCTACTTCTTCCCTCCAGCCAACTTATGATGAAATTCACTATTTCAGGCCAAAGGAGAGGTGCAAGGAGAATGGAGCCAGTGGAACTGAAAAAGGTGTGCGAGGGAAGCGAACTCTGGAAGAGGAGGAAGATGGAAATTCTGAGCTTCTGTCAAAGAATAAACAAAAAAAGAAGTTAAGAAATCCAAATAAAAGTTTTGATCCGTCTTTAAAACGTAAGTTCCATGTTTTTAAATAAATGCATGGAGAGTTGCTGATATCACCTGTGACATAATTGCCACTATTTATTTTCCTTGCTTGTGAAGTTGTAGAAACTTTAAAAAGAGGGGGATTGTTGGGAAATTTCAGTAACAGGCAATGTGATTCAAATTGTGTTAATTAATAAAGAAAACAAGGATCAAAATAGCAGGTCACTGATTCACTATAAGCATCTTTTAAGATCGAAATGCTTTGCAAACTGAATTGTAGCTGTAACTAGTATTTGAAATGGAAATTTTGTTTGCATTTCAAGCAGATGACCTCCTGTCTTAAGCTTGACTTGAGGATTAGAATTTTCTATGTTAAGATTTAGCTTAGAGGCACTTAAAAATTTAAAGTATCTTTACCTTAGCACTGTTATTTGAAGTACTGTATTTTTATTTCAAAAAGAGTCTGCGGCTAGAAAAGCAACGAGCTTTGTTTGATCCTGATTTCTTTTAACTTACTTTTTCCACATAAAAATGCCATTGCTGAAATCAGCTCTCTCTCATCTTTCCAGCCAAATATGCAAAATGTGATCAATGTGGAAACCCTAAGGTAAGTTAGTACGAGTGTTCCTTAAATGGAAATTAAATGACCATGTAATGGTCAGTGGCACAAAGTCTGGACGGAGATCAGTGATACATGGTGTCCCTCCAGGGTCTGTTCTGGAGCCAGCACTGTTTAATGTCCTCACCAGGGATGTGGACAGCGGGATGGAGGGCAGCCTCAGCAGGCTTGCAGAGACATCAGGCTGAGGGTGCAGTGACACACACCTGAGGGATGGGGCCATCCAGAAGGACCTAGACAAGGTTGAGCAGTGGTCCATGGGAACCTCTGAGGTTTAACAAAGCCAAGTGCTGGTGCTGCACCTGGGTCAGGGCAGACCTCAGTATGCATCCAGATTCAGACTAGATGTAAGGAATTAATTTTTTTATGCTGAGGGTGGTGGGACACTGGCCCAGGTTGCCCAGAGAGGTTATGGATGCCCCATTCCTGGAAACGTTCAAGGTCAGGTTGGACAGGGCTCTGAGCAACCTGATCTAGTTGAAAATGTCCCTTCTTCTTGGGGGGTGTTGGACTAGATGACCTTCCAACCCAAATTATTTTATAATTCTATTCTGTCATTTGAAATCCTGAGGCAGGTCTGTGCCAGTGCCCAGTAGTGCAGGAGCATGCCAAGTCCTGCTGATATGTGGGGGCAAAAATCCATACTCAGGAAAAAACCTCTCAACTGTTAACTAAGCAATCTGGGCTTGATGGTGCTACACAAAAATCACTAATGTATATAGATTCTTTGAGATAATTTGCTTTCCTTTCCAAAAAAGTGTATTCTTACTGCTTCTGAGGATTTTTACTGCTAAGCAAGTTGAGTGAGTTAGATGAACTTCCCAAGATCTCTTGGATTTGAATCACCAAACTTCCAGTAATGACACATGTACATTTTACTGTGAAATTAAAAACAAACCCCCTCTTACTATATTTGGTGGTGATGGAGTTTTTCTGCAAAGTGAGAATTTGAATTTGCAGAGTGTGGTTTTTAGTGTACTAATACAAATACTTTAAATGTCATCACAGTACAGCCTGTAGTGAGTCAGGCAGCACCTGCAGTTCTGGTTCTTGTTGGATTTGGATCTAAGCCCTTATCAAAACAAGCATCTCTGTGCTTGTAGCAGATTAACACTGGCTTTCACCGTTAGCAATGTGAAACAAGGCAGCTGTTTTCCACGTTGTGCATTGAAACTTCAAATATTTGATATTTGCAAAGGTCTGGTTTGCTTTTATTTACCTTTGGGGAACTCCTTGACAGGGAGGTGTTACTGAGCTGAGTGAGCAGAGTGCATTTATTGCTTCTAATATACTTGTAAAGCAGCATGTAAAATGCAAGACATAATTTTCTGTTCTTGCTTAAAAATTAGCATTACACCTCGGAGGTAGGGGAGGGCCTGGAACACAATCATGTGATGTTGCTTGCTGTTGAAACAGTTACCACAGCAAAAGCAGCCAGGTGGGGCTCAATTTGGAGCTGCAGCTACTGAAGAAAATGTTTTTTTCTTGCTGTGTTCATTATTGGGCAAACATTGAGCACTGGTCTGGCCTGCTTTCAAAGCCATCCTGTTTCATAGCTAATCCTGGTGACATTGCTTGGTGTGTCAGCCAGGACTGGCGGCAGCTGGGCTTAGGCTCATTTCTGTTTTGCTCTTGCATCACTGTAATGTTGCAGGCAGCCCTTGAAATCTTATGAGTGGACCTGTTTGGGTTTTTTTTCCCCTCTAGATCATGTGTTTCTGAACTATGTCATGAAATTGGGGGGGAGGCGGGGGGAGGGAGTGGGACAGGGAGAGAGGGGGGGAAAAAGGGACTCAATCAAGGCCTCCCTAAACCTGAAGGAATTTTTAGCTGGAGTGAACAAAGCACCCCAGACACCCAACCAGCATAGCCACATCATCAGTTAGCCAGGACTCAGCTGCTGCTGTCCCCTAAGGGTCATACATTTTAATAGATACACAGATATATTTTAAGCTGCATATAGGGAAGTAATTGCTTGGTAACATGTATTTTAGGCATAGCTACAGATGGTAGCAAGTTTGTCAGGCACTATGTTTCAGGGTGTTGCAGAGAACTGCAACAAACTCACCTGCATGAAATGGGCTCATGCTTGTTACAGAGGGCTTATGGCAACTGCCTGCATGTGGTGGATAACTCGGGCTGCCCAACAGGTTACTGGGTTGCATAAGTTGAATGTGAAGCTTTTATTTGTTTATTGTTTACGTACAAACAGTTGATAACCAATATGACATCAATGGTGTAATTTCATTAGGCTGAGTTAACGCTTTTTTTCCAAAGATCTGAATGTCCAGAGCTATATTATTGCTTATTATAGTAAACAGTAATAATTTTCTTTTCACTTACACAAGCTTCTTTACACTCCCATCCCAACCCAGGGCAATAAATGTGTGTTTAACATGTGCCGAGGATGCTGTAAGAAAAAAGCATTCAAGGAGACAGCAGACTGTCCAGGTAATTGCACCTGGCCTTACCAGACACCAAGCAAACATTTCATCTCCCATGTATATTCATTACTTCAGTCTTTGGGTTATGGGTTGTGGGTGGGTGTTAAAATCTACATACATAGCTATCTAAAAGTTTATAGTATAATTTTAAAAGCCTGCTCTTCCTTTATGTATGTTACTTCTTCTGCTTTCAAAGCCTTGGGATGCAGTTTCCAGACTTTAAGGACACATTCTTTATACAGAATGAGGTGTTCCATTTACCAGTGCAGTCATCTCATTTCAGGTTGTTGGTTTGGTTTTTTCTGTCCCTTCCTTTCTTCTTCAGGTCATGGATTACTTTTTAAAACCAAGTATGAAAAATCCCTTTCATGGCAGCACAGTCAAAGAGGAATTCAAAGCCCAGAGATGAGTCAGAGAGGAGCAGCAGAGGTGGGGGAGGCTGTGGTGCTGAAAGAGGATGGTGACAGTGCAGTGTGAAGCTTTGGAAAGGAACAGTCCAAGAGCTCCTGCCAGGCCGCTGCTTCCCTGGGCCAAAGAACCATCAGCTGTGTGAACTTGTTCCACATGATTCAGTTTTGGAAAAGTTTTATTTAAGTAAAAAACTGCTTACTCAGGGAATTATCCTGCATTTGAAATAAAAAAGGATGCAATTAAAGGTCTCATGCTGTGTTTTAAAGACTGAAAATGCTGCGTTTTTGGGTGGGGGGCAACCTATATAAGCTGCTCTAACACTCTGCCCCTTCTGTGTTCATTAACTCTTCATGCCCTGTTTTTAATATTGGGAAATAAATTTATTTTAGTAGAACAGACTTCTGGCATACTAAAAATAACATCAGTGACTTCCTCACTAACAGAAAATGTGTCACATCTGTCTGTTTTAGTAGGCCACACTTTCAATGCAGAAAGGAATGCATTGGGAAATGTGAACATAAAACTGTAAGATGTTGCTATAACCACATTAACAATTACTAGTTTCTTATGGTATAATAAAACGTAAGTCTTCCATAAGCCAAAGGTTGGAGGAAGATATAATCTATTTTACCAGAAGAGGTTGCCTTAAAATTATGTGGTAAGTTGGAACTGAGTTCATGAACCTTCCCTGCTCAAATCTCATATTTAATTATATTATCATTGTTTCTCCTTCCCCCCGATAAATTCTGAGAGAAGTATGTCAAAACCAGGTTCACACATGACTTTTTTAAAGACAGGAACTTGAAACCACCTCTCCCAACATCTTGGGGAAACAGTCCACCTCTTCCCTCAGACACACATATAAAGCTGTCAGGTATTTTGAGTTTCCTGGTCTATTCCCCCTGAGAAGAAGTAAAAAAAGCTAAATGTTCATTATGCCTGTATTTCAAATGGTTTAAATGACCCCTTCCCATTTACAGTTTCCCAAAAACATCAGAAAGTTATCATTCACCACCTCACTGTGCCAGAGAAAATTTATGAACTCTGAAAAGACGGTTGCATGCAAAACAACCAGTTTAGCACAGGAAGACTGGGCTGGGGGAGAGGTTCTGTCATCATGCACACATTTTTAGAACACACCTCTCACAAATAACAGTCCCATCATAGAATCACTTACCAGTGCAAAGGAACGATCAAGCTGGTTTCAGACTCCTAAATTCAGGAAGAGCCTTATACTTGAGAATACTAATTGGAGACATTTCTATACAGAATTAGTATTTAAAGTATGTTTGTGCCAACCTCTCTCCCAAGGCATTTCTTAACAGGCACAAGGGAGAAATGCAGACCTGTCCTGGGGCAGGGCTGGAAAACTGAACAGGGCTGGAGAGCTGCTCAGCTCAGCACTGCAACACAGATCTCCCTCTGTGCATCCAGCTACAAATCACAAGGCTAATGGAAAAAAAGTTTCACCTGAACTTTCAAGAGCCATTCTGGAAGATGCCAACCTTACAGTTACCAAGGCAAAACTGTCCAGGTGGCCCCCCGGGTCGCTAACCAGGGCTTGTGAACTCAGAGGCCCAATTACAAAATGAGCAAAGTCGAGCAGGTCCCCATTCACACCAGATACACCTGCACTAACAAGGGATTACTTTCAGACAAGGCAATACACTAATTATCCTGTTTAATAAAAAAATTGTAGTCTGCCAACTCAGTAAGGTAATGGCCTATTTTGTTTCTATTTCAAAGGCCCTTAAGAAGATATACACTTTTTAATGGAGTAGGAGAAGGAAAAGGCAGTGCTCTGCATGTAGAATGATGCTGAAAATGCTGCTCAGTCTTCAGGTTTGAGGGAAATTGGATTTTCATATCTAAATCTATTTTCAGAGGCACACAAGAAAATGTAATTAGTTCACCTGACAAAAAGAAAGCCAACTGCCTTTATTTGGCAAACAGCTTATAAAATATGAGAAAATTAAAAAAAAAAATCAAGACAAAAAGTGCATCAAAACAAAGACTGAAACTCCCATATCTTAGCATGTATTTATAGGGTACAAACTATATGCACACAGAGGCTTTACAATTACATAAACTACAGGCACTGGGAGTACAACAGTCAAAGCTAGAGCTGCAAAACATTTAGAGAACTGAAACAGTGGTATCTGTGGGGCCAGGGACAAGATTACCCATCCTGATCTATCATCTAAGACAGATTTTCAGGTCTTACCACTTGAGTTCCTGTTTGAATTAGACCATCTCTTGCTAATGCAGATGCCCTTCAGTCTGTAGCTTTTAATAAGCCTACTGAAGCTGAAGCTTGAATTATTTCTTTGCTGTCAAGAAACTGTCTTACTTGCATTACAAATTTACCAAACTTCTAATTACTGACTCTTGAACATTTTTCTTACAGTTTGACATACCCTATTAGCCAGTTTCTGTTCCCATTCAAATTAATTTAGCCTGATAAGTTATCCTTTGAGGTAGTCTAAAGCTACAGCAGCAACCCAATAAGATGTTGAATCGAATTCAGAGATCCATAGGAACACAGAAGTCAAAATAGTTGAAGTACAAAGCTCATTTGAAAAGCAGATAGTAATCTTTTCCCTATTCCCTAACAGCATCAGAGGAAGCAGAAGTCAGTTCCGTTGCAGTTTGGTATTTTTCACCCCACTGCAAATTCACAGCTGATGGACTACCAGAAAAGTGAAACACCGACTTGCCTCAGCCTAGTCCTCACCAGCAGATGGTGTAGGGAAATACTAAGAGCACTGTCCTGTGGAGCACACTGCTCCCCCACTGCCATCTGCTTCATCAAGTAACAAAGAAAATGGCTTAAGAATCTTGCACAGTCAAATTAAATTCACTGAGATTTTAATCTTAAAAAATAAAAAAAAAATCAGTGCTTGATGAAGCACTTACTAGCTATGCATGATGGGTCCTTTTCAGAGGCATTCTTGCTATCATTAAAGTTTCCTCATTTATTTTTTCTGAAAGTTTATATTGCATTCCATGTATCAGAACTAATACCTTCTTCAGCAACAGTTTTGGAGCTGTCCAGAGGATGGAACAATGCTGAAATTTCAAACTGCTATGCCATTCTCATGGGCCCCAGTTGGCTGTAGAGGGACGTGTGCGAGCAGCTGCTGAATGGGACAGCAGACACTCCAGCCAGCTCACGACATCACTGACCACTGAGGAACCCTGCAGCAGAGAGCTTCCAGGGAGGGACAGTAAAAGCACAGAGAGCCCCCTGACATGATGCACTTCACCGAGATGCAAAACCATCTTTTCAAGAACAGAGCATAAGATCTTCTCATTTATAAATATCAGTGGCCCATCTGGGGAAGAAAGTAAGAATGTTTAAGCAGCATTATAGGGCTGAAAGGCTTACCTTCTGTATGAACAGGAGGTATTGCAGTAGATTCCCTGCTCTTCTTTAAGGATTTAGAGCAATTTACCCGAGGACTCAACTTGCCTTTCTCACAAAACTGGCCATCAGTGATGCTCAATGCAAAGGTCTCCCCTCAATCACAGGAAAATTTTTCCATGGTAAAATGGAAGACATTTAACCAAAGACCTTACAGGAACTACTGCTTCCATTTTCAGCACCTAAGCAATAAAAAGCATGGAAAGCCTAGAGAGAACACTGTTCCCACAGGAATTTTGCTGTTTGAACGTTCCTTCACAGTTCATCCAAGCTACATCTCCAACCAGATCAGAAAGCAAGACACAATGGCCTACAAAACATCATAACGTTTAGCAAAAATCAATTGCCTGAGAACAAAATACCCAAAACCCAACTTTAACACAGAATTCCAAATACTCAGAAGCTTTTTAATCCTGCTGTTTAATGCACTAGATATAGCAACTTATTTAAAAAAAAAAAACAACCAACCAACCAAACAAGCATGAATGCGTTAACAGTAACGTCTGTAGTCAGTTGCCAGACCACTCGGGGCTGGATCAAAATTCTCAGCTTGTCTTATGGATTAGATGTATACAAGGCTGCAGTGACTTCAGAAAATTCAGTGCATATCTTCTTTCATGAACACAGGATGAACACACACACACTCCGGGCTGCCACTTTTAACCCCTTTATAAAAGGAAAAGCAGAATAAATGCATCTGGAGACTGGATACCCAGACTGACTGTTTTCAGCACTTCCACAAGACTTGAGTCGTGTTTTATGGCATTTATCCATGCTACCAGAAACAACAGTTGTATATGTGGGGAAACCATCACACGCTATGGCAGTAAGACTGGACAAGCAGCAATATTTGCATGAAGTAGAGATTTACTGCTATGGGAACACTGGACACCAAAGCCAGGCCACGCACAAGTGGGAAATGCATCAGGAAACAGGTCTTTGAAAACACAGACCAGAGAGAGAGAACCTGGATGCAGGTAAACATAAAACCCTAAAATAAAGGCCTGTGAATACATGAATACATGGAAACGATGCCACTTTTTCTGGTGAAGGTGAAAATTCACTCAGAGTTTCTCAAAAGAAATCTCTCCCATCAGAACTCTAGCTCCGTAATTGAGAGCAATGCATCCGTAAGTTTATCCAGAAAACAGAAAACTCAGCATCACTCAAAATCAAGGCAATACTTTCAGGCCAGCAAAATTCATCTTATATCATGCCTGTTCCATTCAACTAACTATTTTTGCAGCTTTAAAATAAGAAAACTAATAGCAGCTGAAAAACTCTCAACTCAGCATCTGTATGAATAACCTGACATCTCTTTATGGAGTGGTGGAAGGCGAATGAAGGAAGATGTTCTACCAAAACTGAAATGATGACCCATTGCAGGGGTGGTTTTTTAAGAAAGAATTTCTTTTCAAGGAGAATTGAAGTTATTGGAATATTCATATTATCCACCATCAGCCTGACCCTCTCAATCTGAGCAAGAAGTGAGGGAGACAGGGACAGTTTCTGAAGCGCAGCAGTTAGTGGGTGAGACATTGGGTACAGTCCTGAGGGATCATTTCTGTTGGTAGTGCACGAAGTTTTTCACATATTGGTGCTCATCCTGGATTGGCTGTTAGCTGGAGTGAGCTCTCCTTGGCTACCTTCTCTCGGAGGAGACTGCAACAAGACGAAAACACATCCTAATGAGTGATGTGCAAATATCCCACACCCTGGTTCCTGAGAGACAAAAGGAAGCACAGGCGAAGCACAGCAGGATGGCAGCAGGGGGAGAGCATACCTCCAGTTCATAAATAATGACCACTTTGTGTTTACAACTTCTACAGTTCACAAGAACTTTTCCTAAAAAAGTCGAACTAGAACTTTTAAGCCATTAGTATTTACTACAGACAAGGTGCTGCTGGCCCCAGTTTAATCCTATCTGCCATTTAGTTATCACAGGGATTGATATACTATAAAAATGAAAACATTCTGTGCAGACGGTCTATCCTTCCTAAGGACATCCTTTTGGAACTGCAACCTGGAAGCAATGTTCCTAAAAATGAATGCATTTTTTATTTCATCTGCAAATAAAGTTACTTGAAATTGTTGATAAAAGTATGTCTATCAAGAATTAGACAAAAGGAATTAGAATTAAGCCAACCGTATAAACTTCAAAGGACATTTTGAGTTGTACAAGAGGTTAATGTATTGGCTAGAAATACTTGTTCCTTATGTATTTCCTTAAATATTTAGTATTTACTATTTTAAGAATTTATCCAATTATGAATACAAAAAATTCATTCCCCTCCAGAATCTTCAATTAATCAACTTTTATATTTTTAGTTAAAAAAAAAAATAATTAAAACCTTAACACTGTCTCTAAGTGCCCTTTTGACACGGCCGTACCTTGACGTGTATCTGGTTGCGCAGGACGGCAGCGCGCAGGATCATGGCCTTGGCACGGCGCTGGAACTCTTTGCCCATTAGTAAGGACTTCTCGAAAGTTGTGCTGCGCTGATCAACATCTCGAGCATAAAGAATCTGTAACCAACACTGAGAACTGTACACAGGAGCTGTGCGAGGGTTCCAGAGCAGGAAGCTCTCTTTGTACCAGGGAACACAGCTCAGGCATTATGGAGCCTGAGTTCGCACACAGCTCACCCCTGCTGAACGCACCAGTCCTGACACGTGAATGCCCCTTCCAAGTGCCCCAGTAATGGCGAGTTTCTAATCTTAGTAAATAGTAGTAATAACACATCTCAGTCCATAACACGTATCTGAAATGCACTCACCTTACTGTGTGAGTCTATTCTGGCATTGATCAGTCCCTCCAGAATCAGCTGAGTGAGTTCATCTTCCAGAGCAGCCACTGTGGTGTTAAAAGCAGTGGCCATCTTGCGCATGTCTGCCGACACATAGGGACTGAAGTACTAAGAAGAAGAAAATACTCAGTTGCCAAGAGTAGTCTCCATCCTCTGAAAAACCAGGCGGGGAAAAAATGCAAAGAGATGGCCTATCTCCGTGTTCATCCACCTCTCGGGATGACAGGAACAATTACCTGGATAAGGGCACGATTTCGAATTTGGGTATAAAGTGTCCTGACATGAGGTGCAAGGTACATATCCAGTAGCAGGTTGTCCTGTGCAAAACAATAAAACACATCAGAAGCTGAGAAGCAACCTGGAAAAATATATTATTCTCATTTTCTGTAACATTTATGTGTATATACTTAAACCTTAAGGATATTACACTACTACAAAGCAATACGATAGAAGAATGAATAAGAGAACTAGCAATATATTTATAACCTTTATCATTTCTCTAACCCTCTACCAGCAAACTGCTCCCAATTTCCATTCACCATGTCAGGAGACAGAAGACACCAAAGAGCTGAACACTTTAAGTAGTTACTTTTGACAATCACTGCTTCTCACAAAAGGCTAGGCAAACAGAACTTTTAGGGTCTGTTCTATACTGCTCTCCTACAACTCACCTTCATCTCATCCAGCATCTTCAGGCATGAAGCATATTTAGATTCATAAAACTTGAAAATGATGTCACGAACCTGTGGCTCCAGCTCCAAAAACAGTTTGAAGGAGCTACAGATAAAGATGGCAGTGATCAGACATTGAAACTCATCACTTTATTATCCCATAACCTCATCAAACCAAGTTGCAAGATTACAAACTCTCACTATCATTTCAAGATTGCTATAATTTGCTCTCTAATGGACCAGATAGCCCAATTTCAGCACAGCTGGGCACCTGCAACACAGAGAAAGGCAGCACAGCATCAGAGCTGTGGTGAAGGAAGGTAAGAGACTTCTGTCAAACTAAGTAGTAGAAGTGTTCATCCACACAAAACAAAAAAATGAGTAGGAATAGATCAAAATCAGGAAATTATCTTAACAGCTGCCTCTGAAAAAGGGCTGTGTCCCTCTGATTTAATATCTGTATGGACCATTGATGGAGACAGACAACTGGGCTGTGCAGATGCTGGATCTGACCTGGGTTGGAAACTTATACTACAAAAACTTCAGCTGTGATCAACCACTGTGTTTTGGCAGTGAAACACCACTTAATGCTAAAGCCAGACTAAGGCTCAGTGATTCTTTCTCCCCTGTATAAGAAAGTTATTCTGCTGCCAGAATTCACTCTCAACCAAAATCCTATATCCCAAAAGATGTCCAGTACATACAAACATCACCCAAGCTTACCTACTGGAGATAACATTTCGTTGCAGTTCCTGACGGTCAAAGGTAGCAAGGGCACAGAGCCCACCATACACAGCCACATTGCTGGGAGATAACAGCTATGGGGAGAGGAAGAGACAGAGTTGTCACTGACTACTAAAATTGTGTAAGGTTGGCATTAAGTATTCTATCCCAGGTCTTTCCTTCACGCAGTGACAGGATTAGTCCTTGTCAAATGCAGTGGAACCACTCAGCTTGCTCTCACCCAGTGTGTGGGGTGAGAGGGCCTGAGCAGTGACACTGCTAAGAGAGTAGACATCAATTCCAAGAGCTTTTTGATTGAGCTACACAAAAATACAAATCTCAAAGGTAATTCCTATGCGATCTAGAGTGGAACATTTAGAGAACCCAAGAACAGAGACTTTTTGTTAAACAAACCAACCAACCAGCAAGGTGCACTGCACCACCAAACTATACAGGAGTGCTGCAAGGATAACTACAATACCTGAATTTTACAACCTAATACTTAAAAAAGTTACATCCCCTCCAAGACCTGCACAGAGCTCCCTCTTAGTCCTCACCTCAGGGAAATCACAGTGATCAAATGATGCCAACAAGAAGCACTTTGCTGCCTGTTTGTACTTCCGGGCAGCTAGTTCGGCCAAGCCTAGGAACCAGAAAAAGTTAGTCCTTTGTTTATGATAATATACAAATTAGGAGAAATTGCAAAATCTGGGAATTAGGAGAGGCCCCCATATGGTTGCTACTGCCTTCACTACTGAAGTAAAACAAGATCCTCAGACTGTATCAAGCATCCCTTGAGCTACATTGACTCACACTGGTATCTTCTCCAAAGAAACTCAAGGAGAAGAAAGAGAAGGCAAAAAACAGCCAGCAGTTCTATCTTATCAGCTTCATTACATTTTGCATATCTAATGCAGAAATAAAAAGTCCATCAAACTGAAAGAAAAAATAAGCCAAGCACACCCTGTTGCCCAAGGGCCCTATGGACAGCTAACAAGCAGAAAGACAGGCAAACCATCCAGGAAGCTGAAGGACTCACTCACCTGCTGCACATTTCAGTTTGGTGAGAATTGCTTGTGTCTGGCTGTCTCTTTCTCCTCTTTGCTAAAGCATAAAACAAAGCAGTAGTGAGCAAGCACTACAAAACCTATTTTTCTTACAAGTGTCCTCAGGATATTTCATCCTAATAATTAACTTGCAAATCTCAATGCCAAGATAACTTCATTGTATTTGTCTAGGAAATATGGCAAGAACTGAGGATGGGAAATACCTGTTTTTACCATGAACAGACTTTGTACACATATATCATGGGAGAAAAGCAACAATGACCTCCAAAGGAATAGTATAGCAGCTGAGAAGGAAGTCTTATATGGAGCAAGTCATAAAGGGGGAAAGGAAGAAATTGCTTTATAAATTTTGGACATAGAAAACAAAGGGAAAACTCGTGCAAGTTAAAAAGTAAGGACTTACTTCTGCAATTTCTGGTGTAGACTCAGCCTTGCTTACGTAGCTCAGAACATGAGACCAATTCTGGAGGTAGACACTGACCTGTAAAGAGCCAGAAACAATGTGGGGTAGCCATGGATAAACAGTGTTCCTTCGATAAGCCTCGTCATTGCAGACACAAGACCAAAGTACAGGGGGACATCGCAGCAGGTATCAGAAAGAACCAAATACCATTTCCTGCAAACCCTCCTACCTTGATGACATTGAGACACATGTTTATGACATGTTTAGCACTGGTGCAGTAATCACGGGCTCTTGAATAACACTTGAGAGCGTTGCTGAGGTCCCCACAATCCAGGTAATGATCACCTAAGTCATCATGGCCTCTCCTGGAGCACAGGAATTAAAACATCAGTGAACTGGGTGCTCAGAAAGGGACCAATCAAGTAACTCAACACACTGACCTAATGCACTGAATGCCTTAGTTAACATCCTGTGTTAAGTGCATGGAGGAGAAAAATGCTCTTTCTTGCTCCAGCAGAGCCTTCCGCATCTCACCTGATACTCTCCTTGATGGAGTTCCCTTTGTAATTTTTCAGATCTGTGTCAAGTTTCTCCAGTTTAAGAAGAGCTTTTTTGCGCGTAGCTTCGACCCAAGCTGTGTCAAGAGGAGGGGGTTCAACTCCACCATCGGGGACAGCATCCGGTGTATTCTGAAGTTCTCTGAAAGCATTTGAACGGAGCTTAATATTAGGCTGCAAACTTTTCAAAACAGAGGTCTGCTAAGTGCCTGGCACTGCAACCCTAACAAACACTACTGCATACACAAAATAGATCAAAGAGAAAACAAGGATAGTGGGGAAAAAAAAGAAAATTGATAAGATTTCCAGTACAAACAGTAACATAAGCATCACAGACGTTTACAAATACATCTCAAAATTATCCTGTGATCTTAGGATGAACATACTATCACACACATATGCTAAAGATTCCCAAGGCAAAACAGACGAAATCTTCAAATAGGCATAGCAACAAAAATAATGCAAAGATGAGAAATATAGATGGATAAGTCAAGTGTCAATGGCTATTCTCAAGAGCAAACCTCTTGTTAGAGAGGGAAAACACTAAAAACAAACTAAACCAAGGCAAACAGTTAGGTTAGGTTTAACTTATGACCACAAAAGCATCTAGAAGAGGTTTCGTCACCACAACCTACCAAAGGAAAAACAACTATGGTCATTAATATTTGAAGCAGTTGCAACGACTAAATGCAACTCAATATCCACCTGCAGCTTTTAAAAACATCACGATTTCTGAATTAGATAATGTCTTCTGTGCTTTATCTTTTAGAAAAGCATGAGAACCTTAGGCCTGAACACACATTCCACTGCTATTGAATTCTAAGGGTAAAGACAATTTCCATTAGGAACATTCTGGTATTACATGCAAAGTCTTCCACTGTGGCACATCAGTTTAAACTCTTTCAGGAAAGCTCCCCATATTCCCATGATCTCTCAGTACCTGGTGGCCTCAGACAGCTTTCTGTGGATTTCTTCATACACATCAACATTGAAAGTTCTCTGGACAAATGACAGAGCCATCTTGAGAGCTTCCACCCTCAGCTGTGGACAGTGATCAGCAATGAACTGCAGCCGCTCGATTCGCATCAGCCCACTGTAGCTGGATGCATACTGCTCCAAATCCTGCCAACAAAGCCTGGCCTCAGAAGGTGGAGATGGACACACCGTGTCAGGCTACTGCACTGTGACCTGCACAGGTTTTCCTGCAGACTTGACCCCTTCAAGGAGGGCAACATGACTCAGACAAATAAAAAATCAGGTAAGATGTCTGCTTTCTTTGAACATTAGTAATATCCTCAGAAATACGCAGTACACTACAATTTACCTTTTCTAAATTTTAGCTGTCTGTTAAGACTAATCAGCTTTAACATTTTTCAAATGGGATTTTTTTCTAAATCCTTAAAGGAAGAGGCCACATACAAAAAATGCACCTACAGCCCTCAGCAGAGCACGTACCAGTGTCGGGTTTTCCACCACATAGTTGATATCAGGTGAATTTTGCTGATCTTCCTGTGGATCTACGTCAATCTGCATGGGCTCCACTGCACCCTAGAATAGCAAAAGGAAGCCAAAAGTAGCTTATTACATTTGAGCAGGAAACAACTATGTGATTCAACCTATTAAAGACTTGCTTAAATACATGTAAAGTTTTAAAAATGAAAAAGCACTCCTCAGTCTTTTGATATATTTAGGATTTCTCTCTAGCAACGCACTGGTCAGCACAGCTCAGTGTTCACAAAGAACCCTTTATTTGTCTTGCCAGATTATCAAGCAAGAAAGTGAAGGGGTCAATAAATCTGATTCTACAAAGTATCTCAGGTATGCATGCCAAATTCCAAGTGACATTCCATTTCTCCTCCTTGAGCAAGAGCAGGCATTAACACTTAGTTCAAGAAGTTTCAAAAGTCAAAATATACCAACTCACCAGAACCTTTCAAAACTGTTTTAATGTTTAAAAGTAATATTTTGGGGGGAAAAAAGGGTAACAATTGTTACACTTTTAAGAATACTGAAAAAAGTAAAGAGCAGAAGGCAGACTGGCAATTTTACAGTTTCCAGCAAATACTGAGGAATAATTTGTCTGCACTGCAGAGATCTGCCATCAGCTGAACTATCCTGTTGTAGTATCTGAGTACATCTGCTTAGGTAGAGCCTCTTTCTCAGAAACACCATAATTTTATTCTCCCAGTATATTCTGCTTTGAACATCCTGAGGACTCACAGCAGTGCAGTGACCTCAGTATAGCAGCACTGTTACAGCCCCTATGTGTGTGTACCAGGTAGGACCAGCTGGACTGATTGGACTGATGCTTTCTTTGTTTGCAGGTTTTGTTGTGAGTAGGAGCAGGGCAGATTCAGATTTCCCAAGTCTAAAAATTACATTCACCCACAGCCTGTTTATTCTTTCACTAAATGGTACATACCAAATGCACACACATCTCAACATTGATGTGGAATTGCCCAAAATCTGAAGTAAAAGCAAGTGAAACATATAAAAGCTTGTTTCCTAGTACAATAATCTTTCCATGAAGGAAAGGGAAAGAGGATGCAAAGAGTTTTATTGTCCAGATCACAACTCAGGAAAAATGTGCATAAAAACTGTTAAGTCACCATAAATTGAGACCATTACTTTTTCCATTTTTATCTCCCTTATCTTTTTTCTCATATCATAATCACTAAATTCCAGGGCTGCTTTGTTTAGGTTGTGTATGCCTACCATCGTAGGCACCCCGTTGAAGGCACCTCACCAGGCTTCTCACAGGCTGATAAACTGGCACTTGAGCTGAAGTCTCCTGCTGTACTCCGGAGGAAGAATGACCTATTGCCGGAGGGGGGCTCAGTACAGACCTGTCACTGACGAAGGGGCAGAGCTGGAAGCTGAACTCTCCCTCATCCTGTGCCTCACTTCCCACAAGCCCATGCCCTGACAGAGAACTTGCTACTGCTGAAACCCGCAAAGGATCGCCTGCGCAGGTACCGTATCACCGACCCCTCGGGGCTCCCAGGGCTCTCCCCTGCACTGCAGACTCTCAAATCCTCCTCATCGGCAGCCTCACCGCGCCCTCCTCGAGCGCCCTGGCCCTGCCTATGGCGCGCACAGCGCGGGACCCGACCGCGAGGCCGCGGCGGGGACCGGATGACGCTCCGCTGCTCGTCGCGAACGGCGGCGGAAGCGACACAGCCGGACCCGACGGAAGGGCGAGTGAGGGCCCAGGGCCTGCCGACAGCGGCCCCTTCCCGCGGAGCCCACGGGCAAGACCACAGCGCGCCCACGGAGGCCGAGGCCGGGCCAGGGTGACGGCCCTTGCGCTGGACGCGGCGAGGCCGGACCAGGCAGGTATAAGCCGGGGGGGCGGCTGCCCCGTTACCTGCAAGTTAAAGACCTGGACGGGCAGCGGCATCGTCCCCTCGGCCGCCGCTTCCGGCTCCGGCCCCGCCTTCCCCGCTCCACTTCCGCTTCCGGGCCGTGCGCCGCCGCCGCGCCGCTTCTGGCAGGTGAAATTCTTAAAGGGGCCGCGGCCCCGCTGAGCCCCTTCGGGCCTTCCCTGCACGGGGCCGCCGCCACCCCCCGGAGCGCGAGGCCGCCCACCCGCGGGGCCATGAGGCGGCCGCGCCGTGCGGCGGGGGCCCGCGGGGCTGCAGCATGAGCGGTCCCTGCCTGGGGCTGCGCAGGGCCGGGGTCCTGCTGTCCCTGGGCGCCGCCGCCCTCCTGCTGCTGCTGCTGCCGCGGGGGCAGCGCCCGCCCGTGCCCCGTGCCCCGCCCGCCGCTGGGCCCAGCGCGGCCCCCCCGGACCGGCCGGGCCCTGCAGGCTCTGGCGGGCCCGGCGCGGGCGGCCGTGGCCGAGGCCTCGCGGGCAGCCCGCAGCCTGCGCGGAGGGGCCGCCCCGGCTCTCCTGCGGGCCCTGCCAGGGAGGCGCTGGAGCTGAAGGATATCTTCATCGCGGTGAAGACTACGAGGAAGTACCACAAGAGTCGGCTGGACTTGCTCCTCCAAACCTGGATCTCCCAGGCGCGGGGACAGGTGAGGCCTCGCGGCGGGCGAGGACGGGAGCCTCGGCCTTGCGTGTCCCGGGGCGGCTGCTGCACTTTTTCACCGGGTGTTAGAAAGCATGTGTTAAAAGCAGATTTCCTTTTAGGACTGAGGAACGTCGTCTAAACGATTCCTCCTCTAAACAGACGCTGTTGATTAAGCTACTTAGCTGCAGTCTGGCATCGGTGGTCCAAGCAGACATAATTTGCTGATTTTTGGATGACTGTGAAAAAATGCTACACAAGAGTGAAAGAACCCTAGTTCTGATGCATCTAAGCCACTATTTTGGACCAAAAAGTTCAGACGCTTACATTTTTCTACAAAACAACACAAAATTAGTTCCCTTGTGTCAGAATTTCAGCCCATTCAAGCATAGTAAGGGAATTTTGTCTAGCAGTTGGGACAGGACGGCATTGCCGCCTGCTACTTACCACAGTGACTTGTATTCTTTCCTTTTAACCTATTTGACAGTTGTGGATTATTCCCAGCCAGAGAGAAGAGGTACTACCAAAAAAGACCAAAATAATTTCTATCTGGAAATTGGTTATCTGTACCCTGAGACTAGAAGAGTAAATTGTAGGATGCTGTATTGAAATGACACTTTTCTGGCTTGCAGTGAAAAAACGAACAAGGCAGGGGTTGAAGTTGCTGAAGTGGCTACTGTAAAACAAGACAGACATAACGTTCTGAATTCTGACTGCAACTGAACAAATTTTAAATTAGTTTCTGAAGTTCTCAAACGTGGACACACCCTTTTTGTCTCCTACAGACATTTATCTTCACAGACTGGGAGGATCAGGAGCTACGCCTGAAAGCAGGTGAGCTGTGTAGCCTAGTTGCATGTTATCTGTTGTAACTGAGTTTTGTTTCTTTCATACTTTTCCTTATTTCATACTGTACAAGCAGTTAGGGAAGTTAAGATGGAGAAAACAGAGAAAACTTGCCTCTGCTTACCGCCTGAACAAGATGCCTGGGACATCCTGAGTACTGGGTTCACCTTTGGATCCACTTTCTTCTTGTTAGTAAGCTTCAGTCTATGTGGTCCAGAGTTATATTAGGTATTTCCTTTGCACACAGTCTCCTACTGCTGTTTATATACCCTCATTTTTATGCACTCACACAATTTTATGACCTCTGCAGCTTGCATGCCAGATGCATAGACCTGTGAGCCCTGCCTTTCCTGGAGTTTGCTCTCCATGTATGCACCATGTGCACCTCAGATGTACAGGATTAGTGCCAAATGTGCACTTCTTTTGTAGTCCTTTTTGTACGACACGTCTCGCAAACCTGGAAGGGCTGGTCTTTATTTTTCCAGGGGATCATATGATCAACACCAACTGTTCTGCTGTCCATACTCGGCAAGCTCTCTGCTGCAAGATGTCTGTGGAATATGATAAATTCCTGGAATCGGGGCAAAAGTAGGTGAAACACATTGTTCTGATTGACTTTGTTTCTTCCAGTACTGTGTTCACAGGAAACTTGAGTAACCATCTCTGCTCCAGTATGGAATGCAATCTTAGCTAAAATGTGGGGATGAGTGCATGGAAGGGAGCACAGCATAAAGCAGCGCTTATAAACAAGCGTCCTTTGGAAGGTGGGAAGGATTATGATCTAAAAGGGGTTATTCTTTTCAGCCTCTTTACAGAATTAGCATCTGTGGGTGCTTTTGGCTTTCCAAATCTGTAATTTTGGGCAATAAGACTTCCTGCTCCAAAGCCTGAAAGACTCACTTGTAAACCTATAACTCATTTCTTTGTCCCTGTAACTTCTTGTTCTGTTTTGTGTGAAGATGGTTTTGCCATGTGGACGATGACAACTATGTGAACCCTCGAACTCTTCTGCATCTCCTGTCTGCCTTCTCACACAGCCAGGATGTCTATGTGGGGCGACCGAGTCTAGACCATCCCATCGAAGCAGCTGACCACGTCCAAAGTGATGGATCAGTAAGCAAACAGTTTGTCTGAGAGACATCCTGAATTTCTAAACCTTTAAAACCTTGACAGTTCATGGGATTCCTCAATAAACCCAAGTGATTTAATCTGTGAGAAGTGAACCTGGCACTGGTCATTTTCAGAGGCGGGGTGCTGAGTTAAAGGAACCTTTGCTCTGATGTTGTACACATATGTACAGCGGAGTTTGTCTCCTGGGTGGGTGTCTGTTTCTGTTCCTTTACTCATGCATGTTGTGATATCCCTTGCACTAAGCTTAGTATGGCCTCCCCACCTTGACTCTTCCTTTTCCTTTAGGTTATGGGGGCAGTGTTCCTTGTTTTAGGGCTTGGGAGTTTGGGTTGGAGTTGAGGGGAGTTTTTATTTCTTTGTTTTGAGTGCAGTGTCACATTGTCATCATCTTGAACCAACCTCGGATGGGTGGCAAAGGCTTTCTAGATAAATAAAGCATTTTTAGTTCCAAGTGGTTACTAGGTTTCCAAGAACTGGAAGCAAACATATCTCAATCACAAGATACATGTGCTAAAGGACAAGTCCTAACCAGGCCACCTGTACTGACAGGTCTAAAGATAAATGAATCCATTAGCCAGAAATTCAGTTATAAAATAGCTTGTTAGGAAAGACTGCACAACAAAATAGTCTCCTTGGACATGGAGCCAAGTGTATAATTGACCACCTTTGATATCCTCAGGAGCACTGAGCTGACTGTGATCCTTGGCTAGAATGACCAGGGGACAGATGGAACTGGGTAGGAGTGGGACTGTAGTTTTCCATTTCATATGTGCTACCTCCATTATGCTAATTTGATGGTTCACCTGCTGTCTGTTCCAAGATAGAGTTTCGTTTGAGAGAACAGGTAGCTAGGCTTTCAGCAGCCTAAACAAATAGGGATTCATCTGTAGCCTTGTTCTAAGTGCAGTACGTGATATCCAATAGAATTTCAAGTTCCCTTCCCTGCCCAGCCAAATGCAAAAAGCTGATTATCATTACCTACTGTGTGTTTTTTCTTGTTGCTCTTCAGAAGACAACCGTGAAATTCTGGTTTGCCACAGGTGGAGCAGGGTTCTGTATCAGCAGAGGTCTTGCTTTGAAGATGAGTCCCTGGGCCAGGTAAGCAGTGTTCCTAGCTGAGCTCCATTGATACATGTTTGGGAGGCTTTAAAATACATTTTCTCTTGTCTCCCACACTCTGTCTCGCAGCCTGGGCAACTTCATTAGTACGGCAGAAAGGGTGCGTCTTCCTGACGACTGCACCATTGGCTATATCATTGAAGGGCTGCTGGAGGTAAAGCTGCTGCACAGCCCATTGTTCCATTCCCACCTGGAAAATCTGCAGAGACTACAAGGCGAGTCTGTGCTGCAGCAGGTAGGGCTATGCCTCACGTCTTATCCTTATAATTATACCTCAGTCTGATCAGAAAGAGTATTCTGCATAGATGTAGCACTCTTCAGCAAAGAAGGATGTCTACAGACTGACTCAGAGCTGTGTTCTGCCCGAGTCCTTCATTTAGGTAAAAAGCACACTTTCATCCTAGCCAGCTAGGTCATAGGGCTGTCCCCTCATTTGGGGACACATTATGCTACATGAAGTCCAAATAGAGTATTTCCCATCTCCTTCTAAGCCCTGACTTTCTGTAAGTGGCAGTAGCAGTAAGTGTAGAAGGAGGCAATATTTAGTTTGCTAAACAGTATTCCTGGTTTTGCCTAACAAAGTCTCAGTCTTAATTTGTGCTGTTCAAAAATGTAACTATAGCAAGTACTTCTTCAATAGCTAAGACATAATTAAATGTTCCATCATTTTTAAAAATAATTTGTCTGAATCTCCAGAAGCTTAATGTTTCTTAGGAAAAATTAAGTAGTTTTATAATTGCTGGGATATGTTTTTCCTCCTGGGCAGCAGATGGAGCCAAAAGGCCATCCATCAGCTTTGCTTGCCTCCTGCTGCTTGGCACCATGAGAAAACAGGAGTGCTTTTTTGCCCCTGCAAGCGGCTTGGTTATATTTTCCTGGCAATTGTATTAGGCAGCAGAAATGTGCACTTGGGGCCAAATTCCGCTGTGATGTAATCTCCTTCACGTTAGTGGGTTGGACTGTAGGCTTAATATTGTGTTTCATTGGTGATCGCTGGCTCCCTGAGATGGTAACAGCTAACCCAAAATCTGTAACCATCTCTGCTCCAGTAAGGAATGCAGTCTTAGCTAAAATGTGGGGATGAGTGCATGGAAGGGAGCAGAGCATAAAGCAGTGCTTATAAACAAGCACAGGATGTCCAATTAGAAAGAAAACATAAGTCTTCTTGTACCTGGCACCTGAAAATTTCTTAATACAGTGCTTGTGTGGAAGAATAGCACTGAACTGAGGTTCCAGAGATCTAAATTGTGTTCCAGGCTTTTCACGTGGCAGTCCTTTGTGTGCCATTTAACATGCAGATGTTTCTGTTTTCCCTCTATACTAAAGCATCGCTATTACAGACTTCAGGTAGTGTCTGGTGAGGATGATTATGTGTTATTTAGTGAAGGTACAGACAGGAGCAGGATTAATGTCCTCACAAAGCTTACAATGGGAACTCATCCTTAAGGGCAATGCAGTTTTCACATCCCCTGTGTATTCTCCCACATTGCCTTTAGTGCCATTCAGTGCCAACATTGTTTATGTCACAGCTAACCACTGTCCTCCAAATGTGGTCCATGTTCAGATTAATCAGCATCCTTGGAGACTTTCTTGGTATCTCGCTAATAACCCTGCTACCTCCACTCTGGTTTTCTGTATTAGTGTTACCATTTTGGAATATTTATTTGTTTTTACAGGTAACCTTGAGTTATGGGGACCCTGAGAACAAACACAATGTTGTGAGTGTGGGAGGAGTGTTTGGCCTTCAGCAAGATCCAACCCGGTGAGTGTCCACTTCCAAAACAAGATCTCCCTGCCTTGTTCATGTTTATCATGTGTCAGATGATCAAACTCCCTAATGGGGTTATTTTCTCTTGTCAGCTCTTGTTGCTGTGGTAGAAGTGGGTAGACCCACCCTCTCTGCTCTGTCAGACTGCTGCACACTCATAGCTAGTATGTTCTATGTACGGAGAATTCCAATCTAATACTGTCTTTTTTTTGCCCCCCCTTAGGTTTAAATCTGTCCATTGTCTGCTTTATCCTGACACTATCTGGTGCCCTGCTAAGAAGATGTCATAATTCTTGACCAGCCACTGACACCTGTATATTATTACCTAGTTTGCATAAGGCAGGAGTTGTGGTGGACTTTTTTGGTGGTTTTATTCTTCTTCTGGGAGACAACCAGTGTTATCTACAGAGGAGATAGACAGACTATTTAGAAAAGCAATAAGGTGTGGTTTGTTCAGCTGCAGCATGGAACATTCCAGAAAGAATCTTTGTTCTTTTCTTTGGTGACTTTTCATAAGATGACAACAGTGCTGTGTGTACGAGTCACTTTACACTTTCTTCTGATGTCATGTGAACCTGTGCTTGGGCACATCTGAGGGAAATGCAGTACTGGGAGTGAGACTGTTCTTACTGCCCTTAGAGGCTTTTAGAAGCCGTTGTCTTGAAGCTGGAGTGCTAGAGCAGTCTGTAGTCCCCATGGTGACAAGAGAGGGGAAGTTTTTGCTCATCTTTCTTGGGAACAGAATTATTTAAGAGGTTCATTGGCCTGCCAGATTAAAACTCCGCCCTTGGGCCAGAATAGGGTCTGTTCTTAGATAGAGAAATCCTGGAATCACTAGGGTAAACAAGGCTGAAGGCCCTTGTAATGAGAAAACTGTGCGTAAGGGTAAGCTTACTCAGGACTGGATAAGAGTTGCTTACAGTGCACGTCCTCCCCTGTTGTCCATGTGTACCTCCTGTGGAGGTGATTGTCAGACCTGGCTCGCCTGCCAACTGAACTTCAGTGGCTGATGATTATGATGGTGGTCTGCCAGGTCCGAGACTATTCCCTTGATGTTTGATACTGAAGAAATATTTGCCAGACAAGATGGTAATCTTTTTTGCTGCTTTGGCTGTAGTTGGTCGCATGAGCTGGCACAGCTTGGGCTGCCAAAACACACCCTGTTTCTGAAGCTGTGTGAGGGAGGAGAAATGCTAGATAGCTGCAATGTGCTGCAGGTCTTGATGGTGTCATTTGAGAACCTTTAATTGTATGACCACAGTTACTCCAGCTTCTTCAGATAATCTTCCAATTAACATAAGGTCAACATCAGTGCTTATTTTTTTTTATTTATTCCTTAATGTTTTGATAAACAGTTCATTTAGTCACTTAAAGGAGCACATTATGAATGTGCTCATTCACACAGAGACAGAAGTTCAGTGCTGTAGCAGTGTCATCTGCTGCTGCTTTTTAAAGAAAATAAACAGTTTTGAAAGTGCAAGGAATGGGGCTCCATATGTTTACTTTTCTGTTAGCCCAGACTCTGGCCATGTGCAATCCCCACCTGACCTGAAGAATAGCATGAAATATGACTTTGCGAAACCACTGTTCATTTTTTCAAACTCTTCAAAAAATACTTGCTGGTTTAGTGCTAGAGTCTGAGGCTGAATTAGGGGGAGAATAATGGAATTATGGTGTGTGATCTGGAACTATGATTGCTGGCTAGAATGTGGACCTAGTAGAAGTTTCAGATTTCTAAACAGCTGTGCTCAGCTGTACTGTGGACTTCAGCTACTTAACTTCCTGGCAAATGCCTGCAGTGTATTCTAGGATGCCACTTAGCAAAGGTGTCAGCCTTCTGAGATACACTGTTTCCTGCATTCTGCTTTTAAGGCAAAACTTTCAGCATTTACCTCAGTACATTGTCTTCTTTGCATGATTTTAGTTAGTTCTACTGAGGAGCAAACAAGCTGACTTCTGTTACAGTCCTGCAGTTCATTTTTATATTTCTCCTTCCTGTCATATGTCCTAAGGTGACTGTGAGGTATGGGAATAAGAGTACTGCAGGGAATTGGCTCAAAGTCCAGCCAGCACAGTGGAACAGTGACTGTTCCATAACGGGGTGTCAGTGTTACAGGTGTGCCTGGCACAGAAAACAGGAGGACTCGAGGAACAGTAGGTTCTGCCTCCTTATTACATCTTCTGCTAACTAGAACTGAGGCACCCTGTGGTTTAATGACTGATCATTAATAGCTCTGGAAATTCCTGGTATCTCTATAATTTTTTAAAAACACTTGGTTTTAACATCCTGTAGAAGAAAAATGAAACTTCATGACCTCTTGAGGCAATATGTCTTCGAGCACTGATTCTGAACTCTTCTGTTGGAGCTTTTCTTCCCCTTCCGCTGGAAGCAGCCTCTTCTAAGATAACACAGACAGCATGGACTGGGCAGCAATTGTATGGCAAACTGCAGTTAAAAAATTACAACGGTTCATATTGATGGCACCAAAACTAAGTAGAAGCTTCACATTGTGCTCACTGGTCAACCTAAAATAAGTGTGCCAAAGAAGCGGTGCCCTCAAAGTGGGGAGGGTGTTAAAAAGGACCGTGTTCTCCTGCAAGGCAGCAGGGAACTAACGGTTGGGTGTGTTCAGGCTCCTTCCATGGTTTCCTGTGTTGAGAATACAGTAAGCTGTGTGGATCTATCAGGATGCAGCTTTTTAATAAAACTTTTTCATACATAAAGTGATTCTACAAAAATAAATATTTAAATATGTCAAAGGCTATGTTTTGTCATGTTTCTCCACGTGTGTTCTATACCAAAACTAGACCATAAACCCTCTAATCCAGAAAGCTGCAGCCTTCTGTGAGGCTCATGTGATACCAGTGGCCAATGGCATGTGAGATAAATGACTTGGATGTGTGGGAGAGCAAATAGGGATGAGAAGAATCCTTCCAGATGATAATTAACAAACCCAAAGAACTGAGATAAGGAGGACATTAATTGTTGTCATCTTCATCAGCAAATTCGAATGGGTAGAGTAGGCAGGTCTTTTTCACCAGCCGCTAAAAAGCCCAGTTTGTTGTGGACGCTCAAGGTGATACTTTAGTGAGACTCAGTCAAGAAATTTCAGCTCTGCATACCTGTCTCTTGCTGGGTGAGCCCCGAGATGGCTCCGCGCTGCGTTCCGCCGGGGCAGGGCGGGCGGATCCCGCTGCCTGGCCCGGCCCTGTCGGTCCGCCCTGGGCTCCTCCTCAGTCGCGGGCCCGCCCCGGTCACAGTCCGCCCGCAGCATGGAGCCGTACCCCAGCTTCCGCGGCCGGCGGGCCCTGGTCACTGGGGCCGGCAAAGGTGGCCAGGGCTGGGGGCCGGGGGTCGGGGCGGGCCGAGGGCCGGGCCGAGCCGGGTATGACGCCGTGTCCCCGCAGGGATCGGGCGCGCCGTGGCCGTGGCGCTGAGCAGGGCCGGGGCCCGCGTGACCGCGCTGAGCCGAACCGCGGCGGACCTGGAGAGCCTCGCGCGGGAGGTACGGGCCACCCCCCTGTCCCGCCCGGGATAAGCCCCCCCGGGCCCCCTGGCTGCCACGCGGCCTCCCACCCACGCGGCCGCCCTCGCCGCAGTGCCCGGGCATCGAACCCCTCTGCCTGGACCTGGCGGACTGGGACGCGGCGGAGGCGGCGGTGGCTGCGGCGGGGCCCTTCGAGCTGCTGGTGAACAACGCGGCGGTGGCGGAGCTGCAACCCTTCCTGGAGGTGACGCGGGAGGCCTTGCAGCGGTGAGTGCCTGGCCCCGGCCTCCCCGGCGGCTCCGCGGGAGGCTCTGGGACCGAATCTGCCCCCCCAAGGTGTCACACAGCTGTGAACGTCAAAGACGGTGACAAGACTTTTCAGAAACGGGTATCTTGAGAGGGGAAGCAACAAGAAAGGACAGCAGCTGGTGCACAGACAGGCTGACATGCACACTTTTAGAAATGCCGATTGTCGATTGATTGTTACTCCGTATGCTGTATTTCTTTACTGTCTGTTCATTCCTTACATAATCACCTTTCCCTCTGTAAATAGCAAAAGGAAACGAAGCACTGGGTGTTACACCTGTTTCTTAGTAGCCAAAACCTGCAGTGTCACCTCCGGAATGGTGGGATGCACCTGCCATCCCATGGGCACGAGAGGATAGTGCCTTTGCTGCTCATCAAGCTCAGAGCTTCCAGTCTAGTTCCAGCTTGGCCCCCGTGAAACTGAAAGGCAGTTGTCACTAAGACAATTCAGAAATAGAGAAGACAAAGGCAGGTAAGGGAGCATAAAACAGTCACGGTGGGAAATTAAATTTGCTTACTACAATAGCATGGCATTTTTTCTCTGAAAAGCTCCATAGTCTGGGAGTGAGCTTTAGGATACAGGCTATGTGTGAGTCCACGTCATTCTGAAAGGATGGGTCACGCTTTGTCCCTATGTTAAAAATGTCTTGAGAGTCTATAATAAAGGATTCGTTTGCGACTAGAACATAAAAAGCATGGATTCTGCTGAGACTCTTCTGTGGAACTGACCTGACAAAGGACGGACAACGTGGCAAACAGAAGAAACGCTGCCTCTACCCGCCCTACAGCAGATTTGCTCTTTAGAGCTGTGTGAGAGATTTGCTCGACCTAAGGAGTTGCCACTGGCTGAGCCCCAAGGGCTTAGTGTTTAAACTTTGTCAGAGGAAACTCCGTTAGGCTGATGAAGGACAGAGTCCTGAGGGAAATGTGCCAGTGCACAACTGCACCTCCCTCAGCAGTGTCTCGCCTGCAGCTGATGGACTGTTCACTGCCAAGAGCAGACCTGAGCATCCTGGCTCGCCTGACAGCTCAGAATTTCTGTGTCTTAGAGCATCACCAGTGGTTTCCAAGAGACCAGCAGCTGCTGCCTCTCAAAACAACTGTCTGGTCTGGCCTACTGTAACTTTTAAATTTGATTTTATTTGTAGGTCTCTTGATGTGAACTTTGGGGCTGTGCTTCACGTTTCCCAGGTGAGGAAGAATTGCCACTGCAGCTGTCTCCATGAATAGCAGTGACTGCTGTACATAGCACAGATAAGTGTCCACTGTGAGGACTAAAGGGATGCAATCCAAAGTCACCCTGACGGCCTGCATGTACAGACCGTTCACGCTTTGACTCTCCTGTAAGCAGGAGGCAGGGAGGACTTACTTCCTCCAGATGGTTTTGCTCTTTTGGCTATCATAGATTTCTCCTTAGGATTCTGGCATTCCTTTTTTTTCCTCTTCTTCCCCCTCCCAGATCGTTGCTCGGCAGATGATCAAGCAGGGAGTGGCAGGGGCTATTGTGAATGTCTCCAGCCAGGCCTCGCAGCGTGCCCTGAGGGATCACGCTGTTTACTGTAAGTATGTGCAGCTTCAGGACAGGAGCCTTGCTCTGCATGTCCCTCTCGAGTTTTTACCAGCTGGAGACCCACAGCCACCAAGCTGCCAGCTCCCAGTTCGGTGCAGTGAATGTCCTGGTGTGTTCCAGAGCAGGTGCTTTGTTACGCACTTTAAAAGTCTCCTGTTCTTCCCTTCTCTTAAAGGTTCCACAAAAAGTGCTTTGGATATGCTGACCAAGGTAATGGCAATGGAACTGGGACCCCACAAGGTAGGAGTCTATGAGAGAAAGTGTGAAAGCTGAACCTGAGCGTTTCCTCAGAGGAGCTTGCTTAGATTGATTGTTTCTTCTGGTCTCAGATTAGGGTGAACACTGTGAACCCCACCGTGGTTATGACTGACATGGGGAGAATTAACTGGAGTGACCCTCAGAAATCTGCTGCCATGATTAATCGGATTCCCCTGGGAAAGTTTGCAGGTCAGTGGGATAGGTCTGTTCCCAGGCTGGGCTCTTGTGTTGTCTCAAGCCTTCCCTCTAGCTGACGTTTAACAGCCAGAGTTACTTTGCTGCTTTTTGGGGCAAATCACAGCTCTGCTGAATGCCTTTTGGCTGAACTCCTGAAGTATTTGACGAGGACAGGGTGAGAATCAACCTTCTCTTCCTCGCTTCTACAGCCTCATCTTGGGACAAGTGAAATGAACTTACTCTATTGTTCATAAATCTGGGTGTTTGCTGTGAACTAGGCATCATTTGATCACAAGGACTTTTTAATGTCCAGCTCTCAGCTACGCTGTCCTGGACACTGCATCAAGCACACTTTGGAAGCAGAAATACCTCCCTGCTCTAATCACATGTAGAGGTCAAAGGCAGACCTCTTTGGGTGCTTGTTTTTCTGGTACAATTTGAGGTGTGCATTAGGTGTTCTCTGTGTTTGATTGCAGAGGTGGATGATGTGGTAAACAGCGTTCTCTTCCTGCTGAGTGGCAAGAGTGCTATGACAACTGGCAGCTCACTGATGGTTGATGGGGGGTTTCTTGTCTCCTAAGATGGCACCTGCATTTTACCCCGGCCTTAATTTTCATACTGGTACTGCATAGATGTAAGCTGGATAGAAATCAATAACACAGACATAGTCTTGCTAGAGGGGCAGCAGGGCTGGAGCCTGTAGGAGAAGTGAGGCAGAAAATAACCTTTGGAAGGCTGGTATATAATAAAGCTCAAATACATCGTCATGGAGAATGTTTATTGCACCAAATAAGGTTTTGTCTTGTCACTCTACATGATGATTAGAAATTGGACCTCTCTTCTAACCCTGTTCCCCCCCCACAACCCTTCAGAAGCTCTCCCTGTTCCATCCAAAACCATAGAGCCTGTCTGCACTTTCAGTGGGAAGGGAAAGAAGTTAGCAGGCTCCTCATTGCTTCCTTTGCTGTCTTTAGTAGAAAAAAAACAAAATAGAGGCAAGGACCCCAGCCCTGCTCTGCAGAGACTGGATTTTGGGGGGAGGCCCGACTAAAGACTGATGGGGGGGAGCAGCACCATGCTGTCCTAGGGTGTGCACACACAAAAAGGCAAATGCATTGATTGCACAGAGCTGTTTCACTCACAGAGTTTGGCTAGTACCCAGTAAAGCACCTAATGATTAGTTCTTCAGTTTCTCTTTTACTTTGACCCCTTTCAGGGCTGGTTATGATTTTTTTTAACAGTCTCAGGCACGTTCTGCTAGAGCACCAGTTTGTTAACTGTTAGCCACAGCACGCTGGGCAAGGAGACCCTACCACCCTCCCAGCTGCTCTTGTCTCTCAGCACCATTGAAATCAGCTCCCTCCCCCACTCCCACCAGGATATTCACTACCTGTTTTACCTGCAGGTTTAAAACAGGTGTTTCCAGGACAGGATAGATGTCTCAGGCCTTTCAGCTTAGAGTTCAGGAGAGCCAAAACAGCCTGCTGCCCGAAGGAGCTACCTTGCCTTCCCCTTGTACCTCCCTTGGGGGCTGTACAGCCCCCAGTTGGTCTCCTGCCCCCACTGCCCCTTCACATCAACACTGACGTTAAATCAAAGAGACATTTAAAAAACACTGACTTCGTACATGATGAAGGGCCCTACACCTCCCAGCCCCCTCCAGAAACACCCAGCTAATATGCAATCTGTCAGAGGACAACAACATGCTGAGCCAGCACCGAGGCCACAGCCCTCAAAACACGGTGCACTTTTTGCCAGGCTTCTTCACGGGCGGTGGGCAGAGCACAGCCCGGATGGCTTCATCAAAGACCGTCTTCAAGCCCCTCTGTGTCAGGGCAGAGCACTCAAGGTACTTTACTGACCCTGGGGAAAGAGAGCTCCAGTTCAACCACTCTGGTTCTACCACCACACACTGTCCCTCATCCCCTCAATGCCACAGAACTCTGCCAGCACATGAGACTCACCGATCTCCCGAGCCATGGCCAAGCCTTGGGGGTAGGTGATAGGAGCCAGTTTCTTATCACGTAACCTTTCAATGGTGTCCTTATCATCCCTCAAGTCCAGCTTGGTGCCCACCAGGATAATAGGTGTATTTGGGCAATGGTGTCGGACCTCAGGGTACCACTGAAACAGAGAGGCACGATAAGAAAAGTAGCTACAGCAGTGGCCACAACCATGAAGATGTGTTCCTACTATTGGGAATGAGGGGTTTACTACTAGCTGACATGGTGTCAACACTTGCAGACGATACTGCTGCCTATAGTCCTGAATATGCTCTGCAGAAAGAGATTGGTGCAGATGTAATAACACACTCAGACACAAAATCGTGACAGACAGCGCCCATCAGTTCTGCACACAGTACATCCCTTAATAGCATTTTAGTTTCTAGGACACCCTTTAAGACGCAGATTCAAAAAGGCAGTAACTTAGCCAAAGATGTCATGAATAAAAAGCAGGCCCCAACCTGCAGACTATGACCTTCCTTCACCGAGACATGACTGCTTGAAATTTTTGGCTTGTAGGTGTGGTGCTAGGTGGGGCATGGGACCTCACTTGTTCTTCCCTTCCAGTGTTTCACCCAGGAGGAGAATACTTTACCTTAGCTCTGACATTCTCAAAGGAGGCTGGACTCACAAGGGAGAAGCAGATCAAGAAAACATCCTGTGCAGAAACAAAAGGGTCAGCTGTGCAGAAAGAAACAGCTAAAGAGAATGGAGGGAGAAGGGAGAGGGATCTTGAGAGAAAACAACCTCCTCTCACAAGCAAGGACTGTGGCTTTAAGAAATTCTTGCCCATTAAGGGTGTTAAACTAATTCAGAGAGGAAAGGAATGGACCTTGAGTTTATGACTACATCTTCTTTCACAATGCTGAGCTCTGCATGTTAAAAGCATGCAGGCACAAACATCTTAACAGTGCTAAGGGCTTCACCCCGGCAGCACGGCTACATAGGAACTACTACAGCCAGGAAAATATTTCTAGTGCAGCACAACAGTGAGCTGTCCTGCCAAGGGAGAGTGGGAATATGGAACTGGCTCAGCTGCACAGCAGTCTCATGCCATTCCTTTCACCTGAGCCTCCCTGGGGCACCTGTTCAAAGACCATTAAAAAGCAGGGACTAGAACAAGACAATCTCTTTGGAGAAAATCAGCTGTGATACTTCTTAAACCACCAGAATTATGGGTGCAGCTGCAGCAATTTAGACTTTCCTCAGTGGAAAGAAGCATGCCTGTCCTTGGGACCCCCCCCGCCCCGTCTCCGAGAGGGAGCAGTTACAAGCCAGTCCAAGCCCAGCACTCACCGTCTGTGGATAGGAAAGAGGCCGCAGTCGGTCATAGTCCTCTTGCCCTGCTGTATCCCAGAGGCCCAGGTTCACTGGTTTTCCATCTACCATCACATTGGCAGAATAGTTATCAAACCTGCCAAAGAGGAGTCCCTCATCAGTGACAATTTTGTGGTGACCTTCACATCTCTATACGAAATCCAAGGGGGCAGTGAATCAGGAAAGGGTACTGCAGCACCGTTCCAGTGGGGACAGTCTGCCTTCCTCACATACACAGCCACACCCCCAGCATCATCACAGTCTGATTTGGGACAGCTACCTACTCACTTAAAAAACTCCTTTTACACATGCATACAGATCAAAAAGCAACTGAAGCCCAAGGTTATTACTCACACAGTGGGGATGTATTCTCCAGGAAAGGCATTTGTGGTGTAACTGATGAGCAAGCAGGTCTTCCCAACAGCTCTGCGGAGGATAAGAGTGAGGAGAATAAAGAAGGGTACAGCAGGGAGCACTGAGGCAGTAAAACTCACCCTTCTGCCCCACTCCAAAACACAACGTTAGGTAAGAAGTTAACTGTGTGAGAAAACAAACCTGTAGCAGGCTGGAATTCCCTACTTGTCAGGGGCCAGGCCTGAAATCCTAATGTGCACCCTGCCTGAGCACTCACTGACCCTGCTCTCTCCCATTCCTTTTCCCCACCCATTCAGCCTCAGCAAGACACCAGGCAAAACAGAGTTGTTCCAGGAACCAAGAGAAGGAATAAATTAAGGCTGTGTGCTGGGCTCAACAGATCCATAATGGTCTAGCAAAATGGGTAAACAGGTGAAAAAACATGCAACAACACAGAACTCTACAAGCTCCTCAGACACAGGAATTTAGTATCAATAAATACAAAGGAAAAACAATAAGTATCCATAAACAAAAATGAACTTTAAAATTGACCACTGTCAGTTTGGAAAGAGATCAATTTAGAGGGCTGAAATATCAGCTCAGGGCTTCGCTGAAGGCTGGTAGCAAGGGTTAGGCCTGGCTGGCAAGAGCATAAGCATACAGACTTTAGCCAGCCCTCTGCATTTCCTAAGGGAAAGCTTTGTTGTAAGAATGGAGGAGTACCAGCAACGTGAACAACTTCTTTATCACTGAGAAAGTTGTGAACTGCACACAACCTTCCCGAAAAGGCGTGAGTGCCAGGGAAAGCTGGCTGTGAAGAGCCTGAGTGAAGATGAATAGCCAGCAGAGTTGCATATCCCCTACCCAATACTGTAATCAGAGTGGCATAAGGAAGGACTTCAGGAGTAAGGGAGAGACTCTAGCAGAGTACACAGTCCTTTGGATGCACCAAGATGACTTAGTCTACATTGTCGATTTGGTCTTAAAACAAAACACAACACAGCAAACCTTCAGCTGAAGTCCATTTACAACATCCTGTGCTCCCAGTTGTTCCTCCAGTTGTTGGCCTCACCCCAAATGTGTATTTGAGGTGGCAACATGTCTAGGAAAGGGGAAAGACCTGTCCCTGCCTAAGACCACTTCACATTTAAGTCTCAGTGCCTCAACTCTGTGCTTCCTGTGGTGATCAGAAAAGTAAACTGAAAATGTGAGAAAAAATATGCAGGACGAGATAGGAAAGCTACAAAGCACCATAAATCTAGCACATGCCTGCATCTTGCACACAGATGTGTTTAAAGAAAAGGGAATTAAGGAAGAGCCTAAAGAAAAGAGGAAAAAGGGTGACAAGGGGCACATGATGAAATCAGAAACAGCAACACACTTCACCTCGGAACAAACAACAAAAGGACACATGAGGGGAACCTGCTAAGATTTTCGGGAGGAGTCTGTGATGAATCAAACATGTACAATGAAAAATAGCGAACTAGGGCACCTAAAATAGGAGGAGATAGACGTAACACCCAAGAGAAGCCGGTGTTTGCTATCCAGGCAGACCGATGGGGCTGGGGAGCCCCTGGGGACCGAGATTCAAGTTCATCAACTAAGGAGGGAGCGGGGCAGGAGTGCGCGGGCCGCCGCAAGGCCCCTATCTCCCCCCGGGACACAACGGCGGCTCGGCCCGCCGGCCCCAACCCCGCCCGAGCCAGGCCCGCGGCGATTCAGGCCAGGTCGGGCCTCGCCGCCCGGCGCGGGGCCTCCCGCCGCCGGAGCGGCTCTCCCGAGCAGCGGGGCGGAGCCGGCCGGCCAGCCCTCCCTCCCATCCTCCCTCCCTCCATGCCGCCGGGCCCGGGCCCGCTTTGGCGGGGCTGCGGAGGCCGGGGCGGCCCCGCCCGCACTCACCCGTCGCCCACCACAACACACTTGATCGCCTGCATCTGCCCGCGATGGCGGCGCCGCGACTGCGCCGCAGTGACCGCCCGCGGGGCGGGGCGGGGCCGAGCCGAGCGGGCCCAGCCGAGTCCAGCCGAGCCGAGCCGAGCCGAGCCGAGCCGAGCCAAGCCCGCACCGCCCAATGGCCCCGCCCCCTCCCCGGGGCTCCGCCGCGGGCGGGGGAGGCAGGAGCGGCGGCCCCGCCCTGTGAAACACGCAGCGGGGCTTGCTCGGGGCCGGCTCCCGCACCGGGGGCCACTGGCTTAAGGACGAAGCTTTGATACCTGGTTACGGTGTAGATTTCACTGTCAGCCACCAGAAGCTCCAGCTAAAGTTCTGTAGGAAGACGGCTTTTGGCTTCCTCCGCCTCGAACAGAGGTGCCCACTGTAGTGGCCCTGTCTCAGAACAACAGGCTTTGCTTTCCCTTACAGATGACACAGCTCTCACTACAGACTCGCTCTTTGTGATTAGGGAACGCCTTCCCAGCTTCTTTGCTTTTACCTTAGTCCGGAACCAAACTCTTAACCCAGCTTATCCACCTGTAACAGACTTTTAGCTCCAGGAGAGGCTGGCAGGGTTTTCAGGAGAGTAACACAGCAGACGGCCCCGCCCTCCACATCAGCCAAACATCCAGCTCATCATTGTCCAATCTTATGGCAAATTCAAAAGCTCTTTATTAGAAAAGCAGAGCAAAACCCAATATAAAAAATCATAAACACAAACCAACCAGTCCACACATAAACACTCATTTTCCATTTGTCTCCTAAAATATGTACTGCAAGATCACTGCTCTTGCCCTAGACTCATTGAAGGAACTCACAGGAGGTTCTCAAGACTGCTGGCCCCTTTCTCCAATTCTCCTGCAACCCTTCCCTTTCTACAGGTCATGCAAGGACTTGTGCTGTCAGGAGAGGAACCACCTTCTCTGCCTTTGTGCTCTTAGAAGCAACTCCTCTGTTTCGAGACAGAAGCACTGCTCCTCTCCAGGGTAAGGCCACAGCACTCAGCTTCAGGGGCCTGAGAAGCCATGAGGACAGTTTTGCCATTTGTCATAGTGAAATCATATCCTGTTGCATATTGGCTGCAACATCTTCAGCCAAGGGCTGCAGTTCACAGTGAAGAAGCACAGATGCTGACCCCCAACCACCCACTGGCCCCTCCCCTGCCAGTCGGTGTTGTAGAAGCTGAACCACAGCCAAAGCCCAGCTGTCCCACAAGGACATGCACAGCACTGCACCGCAGCCCCACTAAACAGCTGTTTCTGTCTATGCTGAATGCAAATCTACTGCCCACCAATACAGCCAGAGCCACAGCATGGAGGGTAAATGAGCCAGAGAGGGCCCAGTCAGACTTTGCTTCCATCTGTAAGCATTGGGTGAAAAAGAACGGATGCATAAGATATGGTGTTTCCAGAAGTTTCAGGACCCCATGAACAAAGCATGAACTGCTGTCGCCTTTTAACAGGTTTCACTGTGAACAGCCATGGCATCCAAACGAACGCTGCACAAGAACTCTGCCAGGGAACATACAAACCATCCCCCCAGTAGCAACACGGTGTGCTGATAGGCTGGTGCTGTGTAAAAGGACACAGAAAATACTTTAAACACTGTGGCAGCTGAGTGGAAGGGCTCCACATCATGCACTCAGAGCCACGAGCCTGGATGGTTGTTCCCTCCTCCCCTTTATGTGGTCAGGAGGAAGATTTACAAAGAGCGAAAACAATTTTCTGTGTTTTGTGTCATCCCGCTCTGATAAAACTGTCCTATCTAGGAAGAAGGAGCTGTACCTGAGTTGTTCACCCTCTTCTGACAGCAGGTATTTGGATCCTTTAAGCCATGCTCTCATTTCCTAGAACTCTGGGTTCCAAAGGGGGGTCCCTGCACATATGCCATGATGGCATTTTGCAAGAAACTTGCTCGCTGGGCCTCCTCTTCCCTCACCCTGGAGATCTCAGCCTCTTTCATTCTCAGCTTCTCCAGCAGCAGAGAGATCTCACCCTCTTTGTCCAGCAGTGCTTCACGGTGATTATTTGATAAGGCTGTAAAAGAGCAGCATTAGTAAACAAAAGTAAGGTGTCCCCAGAATAAATAAGAACATGTTATAGGCACAGCCACAGGCAATTGAAGTGGAATGGTCAACAAGAACGTGAGAGAAGCTTCATGAAAGGTTTTGCAGAGACAGCATGTTACACTTCACTGTGCAGGAAACCCAAACAGTTTGCTTGCTGTGCAGCTTTGGGTAGTTATCTGAGTCTTGGTCTCTATAAAATGAGGACAAGAATCCCTGCAAATACACCAGGATGGAGAGTACAACTCACAAGTGTACGCACAGGCAGGAAGCGCAGGTGTTACTACCTGTAAGCACAGCTCAGTTCCAGGCCCAGTGCAGGGTAACTCAGCATTATCATTTGAGAAGCATGAAAGGATCCATCACCTTTCAGCTGTCTTTCCAGAGCTGCAATCTTCTCTCTCAGCCCATCCTGTGCTGCGCGTTCAGCTTCCAGGTGCCCAATCTGCTCTTGTAATTCCACCTTCACCTTATTCACTTCTGTCACTTTCTCCTCTTCCTTACTGTTCAGGTCCTGACACACAAAGACAAATCCATGAACAACCAAATAGCTTTAGCAGCTTGTTCTGTCCCTGTGGTGACCATCTCTACTGCAGTCCAAATTACCTGCTGAAGTTCCTCCAGCCGCCTTCTGAGTCCATCAGCATGCAGGCTCAACTGTTTGGCTCTGGCCTGGGCTTCAGCAACCATTTCTTTTTGCTTAAGGCAGCAGTTCTGAGCTTCATCCCGTGACTCAGTCATCAGCCGCAGCTTCTCTTTTAGGTGTTCTAGTCGTTGCTGCTGTAAGACACAAAGGAAAATGAAAACATCAGTCTCACTCCAGTCCTGTGAAGGGATTCTCCCCTTTTTGTTCCTAACACAGTGAACCCCTGGCTGAGTCAACTGGCACTGAAGAAGCAGCCCAGGACTTGGCCATAAGACACAGCCCTGCTCCTCTGCAGTCAGGAATGACCCCCAAGGTGTTGCTTCTTGCCAGGGAGGACACTTACGGAGACTCTGAAACACCCAACTGACTCACTGAGAAAGAGGCAGGTCCTGGGCAGAAGCACTCGATGCCACCACCAGTCTTCATAACCAATGCTCTCCCTTCACTTCCTTCATACCCCAAATGGCTCTGAAGCACCACTGTGTGCAGCTAAGCAACTGCTGGGTCCCACACATCAGCTTTTCCAAGTCTGTAACTCAGTGAAGCATTTTCTTTTGTGATGTTATGTATAAGTAATATTCTAATAGTTTTTTTGTGTTTTCTTCATTCCTTGTTCTCTTTCACAGGATATTAACTTCATTGCCATTTTCACTAAGTTCAATTCAAACAGTGACCTTTTTTTTTTTCTTTTTCTGTCCAGCAGCAGTAGCCACCTGAAATTTTTCTGAGTCCAGAGAAACAGGAACACCCCATGAAAGTTGCCATTAAACGGAAGGATCGACATCTGGCTGTTGGCTTCAGAAGTTGGCAACTTAAATGAAATCGGCTTTGACAATATCCACATCAGTTCTGCTCCTACTGGAGACAGTTCAAATCAGACTTTTCAGGGCTCCTTCTTCAGCAATCACACCATTTGCAGGCCAGTGAAACCCAGAGAGGGGAGTTACACAGCAGTTCCCCGAGACTAAGTCATAGGCTAGGCAGCCAAATCGCTTCTTTCGCACAGCGGCAAGGCTACACACAGGTCTTATCCTCACCTCCTCCAAGCGCGCCTGACTCCGGGCTTTTATTAACTCCTCCTCTGCCTGGCCTCGCTCAGCAAGTGCAGCTGCTTTGACTTGGCTCAGCTCCTGCCACAGAAGCATGGAAAATGATTCCAGACAGAGAAGCTGCATCACTGCAACACTGACCAGAAAACATTAGCAGCTTCCAGTCACAGGCTACAACATGACAGCTCTCCCTCTCACTCACAGGCAGTGAAAGCAAGCCAAGATGACAAACCTTTTCTTCCCCCAAGATTACCATCACAATTCAATGAGAATTTCAGTTATATGAGGGCAAGTCATAGGTAAAGCTTTCCAAAGCAAGGTAATGTAACTGGGAAAACAGATATGGAGAAATATGCTACACTTCTTGAGATCACTTCTGATCGCGAAGTCAAATCTTGGTAAAACTCTCACTATGTTCAATGGAATCCTTATTTCTGTTCAATCTGAATTTAGAAGTTTCTCCTTGTAACTTTCTCCTTTCTTAGTCCAAAGTGGTAAAAATAATTTTAACTGGTATACTGCTCTTTTCTGTTCCTCTCTAGACCACATGACAATCTTTACAGAGGTCAGCAATGGAAGACTCCACAAAGCTCCCCTGGCAGCCTGCTCTTTGCACTGCTACATGAGTGTTCAAACATGCTTGCAGCATCCTTTCTCACCTCCTCCAGAGATATCCTGATGGTCTCCAGCCTCTGTATCCTGTCCTGCATGGAACGTTCACTGGCCTCAATGTGCTGTGTCATATGATCCACCTGCAAAGCAGTAGAAACCATTTAAGCAAGTGCTAGAAAACTACTCCCATTTCCAGGTGTATCAGCAGGGCCATTTGTCATGAGAGAGAAGCATCCTCCCACTGACCCACCTACCACCTAAGAAAAACTCTTACCTCTCTAGAGCTCCCTTAGGAAACTGTAATACAGATACAATCTGCCATCAAGAAACTGGGAACTTTTAGGCAGAGATCCCTCCCAGACCATGACAAAAGATACAGAGCCCGAGTTCTCATTGTCAAGTGGTACAAAACACCACAGATTCATTTTCCAGCTATAATGAGGCTAAAATCTTCCTGGCATGTGTCTTTTCATAGAAGATTTCAAAATCTTCAGAGAAATCTATTGGTGTAGTTTTATTTTTGAGAGATTTCACACCTCAGTAAACACTGCAAAGAGAATTGATCATAGTCTCTTGTCTTGTCCACACTCAGAAACAACCCCCCTTGACATAACAGGGAAAGAACTGGCATGCTGAGCCCTGTTAGAGGATTGTTGTGTACAGCATGTATGTCTCAATTTCCTCCATCAAAGCATCTTTATTTCAGAAGTACGACAACACTGCTTATTCATAACTACCTCTGTGCATAGCAAGACTAACACAAGGGCCAGCTCCCAGCCTCTTTTGGAGCATCACATACCACTCTGGCCCATACTCCTGCAAGCTATAAAATCTTACTAGCTGGCAGAATGTCTTGTGACCTCTTAAGGCAGGCTTTGCTTGAAGAAATGGCCCATTATTCCCACAGTAACTCTGAGTTCACTAACTTTTCAACCTTTTTAAAAGCACCTGACAGCAAACGACCTCCAGTGGTGCTTGTATGTCAGGACCAAAGAAAGACTAACCTTGGGATGCTGCAGAAACCCCATCCTTACCTCTTTTACCCGTAGGGATTCCATGTCTTCAAGGCTTTGTTTAAATCTTCTCTTCTCCATTTCCAGACGTTCTGCAGATTTAAAGCAGGCATATCACAATTCTGGCATTCCTGCCATGCAGGCTGTATTCATACTTTATCACACACTCTGCTGCCCTTCCTCTGTGACTGCCCTGTGCAACTGACTCATGGACAGTGATCCCAACCACAGGTATCCACTAGCTGTTTCTGTTCCTCTACTCACCCTCAGCTTGCACAGCCCGAAGCTTCAGCTCTGCAGTTGTGTTGGCCAAGTCTTGTTTTACCTGGAACAGCTGATCCTGCTGAACTTTGCACTTCCTCTCCAACTCATCCACCTACAAGAAAATGACCACCAAAAAGGATTTTCTTTTCCTATTAGCAGAGAAAGTTGGCTGTACAGGACAATGAATAGAGACACAACCAGGGATCAACGCACAAAACATATAGACAGAGGTTACATATGTCCAAGTTCCCCTTCTCAGCCTTGGACTTAGTTTCCTACCTGGTTTCTTAGCAGCAGATTTTTCTCACTGGCAGCAGACAAGTCATGCAAAAGCTTGCCTTCCCGATCAGCACTTTCCTGCAAACAAAATCAAAATAAAAACCTGTACTCACCTTAGTTCCTGCACCATCAACCTATGCCAACCAACACCACATCCAGTCAAATCCAACCTACCCCATAAACACCATGGCTCCTCTTCACACCTAGCACTCACCTATCTAATTTACACATCTAATTTTATGTCATGGTGGCTTTAGTTAACCCATTAGTAGTAAAAAATCACACTTCTCTATCCCTTGCAGCATCCCCCAAACCTACACAAACCACTTATGACCTGGAGCCTTGCCCTCAAACCTAACTAGGACTTATTCAGCTCACCTGCTTTTGTTGCTGGAGCTCCCTAAAGTGGCACTCAGCCACACTGGTTTGTTCCTGTTTCATGGCATTCAGCAGCTCTCCCAAGTTGTGCACCTTCTGCTCAGACAGAGCCAGGGCAGCTTCAGTCATCTGCAGCCTATAAAGAGAAACACTTTCTGGAGTCTTTTCCAAGGCAGACACTGCAGAGAGCTCTCCACGCCATCTGGTACAAGGTGCTAGCACCTATCTGGCAGTGGATGAAATCACGCTAAGGCAATTTTTGCCCCTAGAAAAAGGACACCACTGACCTCTGTACTCAGCAGCATCTGCAAAAAGTGACCTGGGACTTCTCAGGGCTCAGTGTTCTGGTGCCTATTCCATTTTCCCTGTGTTGTTTTCTGTGAGCCATTTTCCCTGCCCAGAGCCCTCCAGAATTTGCTCACTCTCACAGAACAAAGCTGGCTATTTTATACCACTGCAACATTGTTTAAAATTAGGGACAGAATTGTAAACGCGAGTAGCAAAAGCAATTTGCTTATTCTGTCCATGAGAAGGACATGTCCACACCAGGGCATGGCACAATAAAACTGCCTATACCTGGCATAACTGAATTAGCCCGTCTCAGAAGTGTTTGAAGTCTAATCACTGTCATGTGCATGACTATGCACAACCTAGCAATGCTTTTGGGAAGCTCCACCCCACTGTTCCTAGGCCTGGCTCCTCCATATCTGCAGTGGTTCTCAGAGAACACTGCCAGGGGAAGCAGGCACAGCCTCCTGCCAGGCTGTAAACCACGCAAGGAACAAGCCCCCAACCCATCCACACAATCATTTTTCTTCCTTTTCACCCTCTGTAATTCACTTGCTCGTACGGCAGTGCACTGTAATTTTACTTAAAAGCTGGCTAAGTATCTAAAGCGGCCAACTCAAAGGCGTGATCTGACCCTAATTTCTGGATATTACTGCAGAATTAAGCAAAACAGTAAACCAGCTACTCTACAAAATTATCCCCCTTCTTAGCAGCTCTGCTCAGTACTGTGCATATAGCACAGACAAGGGGAAAGAGAAGGTTTTCCTCCTCCATACTTGGCTTTCAGTGAATTTACAATGGAGTGCTGCTCATCCAATGCTTCCTGCAGTTGGCTGACTCGTGCTGCGGACATTCTGCATTTCAGAGACAAAAAAAAGAAAGAAAAAAAAATGGTGAGTAATTTCTCCCAGGAAATGGGAGAGGGCTCAATTCTGCCATCAAAGAGCAGAAAGCATTGAGAAATCCAACCCACCTCTCGCTCTTGGCTTTTTCTTCTTTCTGCTTGTCTACGGTGTCCATTAAATCCAAGAACTGTGAACAGGGCAAAATTCAGTGAGAACATGAACTGCATCACCTTAAAACATGTACACTTCTCATGCTTCTCTTCCCAGAAACAGCTGAAGACAGTTCAAGCTACTATTGGAAGCAAACTGGAGGTATGATGCATTTATTAGCACATCTGAATGAGATTATCAGCTATAGGGACTCTGCACCCTGCGGTGCCAGAAGGAAAACAGACTCAGATCTCTAGGTTTATACTACTTGGAAAATATCAAAGTAGCTGCAAAAGAACTGAAATTATGAATTATAGGTTAAAAAAAATCACCAAAACTCCTGCAGAATCCAGAGTGAATACGTTCAGCAGGGGTGTGTCCACACCCATACTGCCAATTGATTTGATTCCTGGTCAACCTAGCTCAGAGGAAGGACATGATGTACTCAACCATGCTGGGTGCCTGCCCATAAAGATGCACGTGCAACTTCAGATGCACAATAATACTGTCACTGAGTGTTCTGTGGGGGCTACAAGGGAAAGCAAAGGATTCCAGCTGCCCTATTTGAACTGCCAACACGTAAGATTGCTAACCTGCTTGTTCTTCTCATCCTTCAGATTCAAAACCTCTTTGTTGAGGATGTACACTTGGTTCTGGGCCTCACTCAGGATAGCCTCACGGTCTTGGTTGTGATCCAAGGCTTGTTCTGATGCAGAGAGCAGGAGAGCATGCACAAGTTTCTAAAGCGACAGAACAGCAAACACTGCTGGAAGAAACAGCACTCAGGATGACACCTGGCTATCAGAAGCACGAGGACAGCTTCCCTTCTCAGGCCAGCCTCTGTAGAGACCTCTCACCTTACACCAAAAGGTGGGATGAGATCTAAGAGAGCAGTGTGTATTGGGTAATCAATACTCCAAGAATAGGAAAGCTGTTCAACTCTGCTGTGGGCAGGACAACAACACACGATGTGCTGCACAAGTCACATCAAAACTTGGCTACTTAGAGGCAAACTAATCTCAAATTCTCCCACACTCACATGGCACACTAACTCAACCCAAATTATTTTTTTGCTCTTGCTGGTGAAAGTGACACTTCCAATTTGACCAGCTCTCACTAAGGGACAAGAGGAAGAGATGTAGGGCACTGTAGAAATGCTGTTGAGAAAGGGAGGAAAGGAGGAATAGCTCTCTTCTGGAGCAGCAAGTGCCCTATATCTCCCAAGTGCTGAAGTAGGAAATGAGTTAGTGATTCATTACTGTACAACACATCATACTTACCCACAGCTTTCAGGATGTCACCAGGAACATTGTTCCCTGCCAGCTCTAGCCTCTTCAGCATCTTGTTTCTGTGCAGGCAGTTCAGCAAAGCTCGGCCGCCCAGAAGCCCAATATTGTTCCATCGCAAATCTACACACAAAGCAAACTTTCACCTTTGTAGTCACACATCTGCTGAAAAGCAAAAGGCCCAAGAGAACCCATGCTCTTTATACATCTACAAGCATGGCTAACTAATCCCAGATGGTCTTAGCATAAACACAGGTGAATACTGTCTCCCCTTTCAAGATGAATGACAGGGAGGGAAAGTAACAGACAAAGCAGGAAAGGCAGATATTTTTAAAGTGCAGAAAGCCACTACAGTTCAAAATTTACATAAGTCTGCCTCTTGCAAGCCTTCCTTCTACAGCCAAAATCTGTAGATGAGAAAGAACTTTCAACAAAAGCCATGGTCTCCTGAAGGAAATTCCAGCAAAATTCCATATAAGGACCAAGCAAGTGTGAAGTAAGTCTCCGAGTCTGTCATGAGGCATGCCAACAGCATCTACAGATAGGACCGAACACACTCCCTCCCCTGCTAAGGACTGTGTGCATGCGTAATGTATGTGGGCAAAGAACTCTTACCCAGCTCCTGAAGACATGCATTTTGTGTCAGTGCCACGGCCAGCTCTCCAGCCCCTTGATGGTTAATCTGGTTATTGCGCAGATCCAGCCGCTGGAGAAAGTTGTTTGCTGCCAGTCCTTGGCAGAAAAAGGAGAAGCCTTCCTCCCACATGCCAAGGCTGTTCCACTCTAAGGTTAGGCTAGGGAAATCAGACAGGATTGGAGTTCGTGGAGTAAATGGACAGCCGCATGAGCTTGAATGATATGTGGATCACAATACCCAGTCAAACACCCAGTTCCACAAACAGACTTGGTTTCAGAGAGCAAGATGCTGCCAGGACCCAGCATCCTTCAAAAGGGCACTTCCAGTTCTCATTCCTTCACCTTTCCCACCCCTCACAAGAAATTGTACCACTTGACATTCCTCCTATCCCAACAAAAACCACCCTCAGCCCTTTTCAACTGTTGTGCTCCATCTAACAGGAATAACACAAAGAGAGGTAGATACATTTTTTTTTTACCTCCGGATGGATTTGTTCTGCCTAAGAAGTTTTCCCAAAGCCTCAGCTCCCATGATTCGTAGGTTATTTCCCTGAAACAGAAATCCCAGGCTATGAGTAGGCTACACCTGTCCCAGTCCACCTACCCCATCAAACACCACTAGGTGCACCCCAGTTGTAATGCTGATTTCAGCTGGACAAAGATGGTCCAACCACCATTTGTTTCATGTATCAGTCAGCTTTCCACAAAATTAAAAGCCCTCGAGGAACAGTGGATGAGTACACACCTCTGGTCTTGTGAGGCACCATGACTGAGAGCTTGCAAAAATCACAGGATAGCACAGGATCATCATGGGCCACAATGGGACAGAAAATGGTGATTCTAGATAAGCATACTTCAATAAAAAGGGCTCAGTTAGGACTAACATAAATGAGAAAGTTGCGACACAGTTTGCAACTGTATATTCAAGGGAATAGATGTATGTCAGAGGAATACAGACAGAAAGCCGCTCTCAGTAGAGTGACCATCACATCTAAAGGCAGATGCCTAGTGCCAAGCTCAGGCTAGCCGAAAGGCATTGGCAAGCTGGATAAATTCTACAGAAGCACAAGTCAAACAGTTAATAACTCACTGATCAATACAGAGACCCAAAGAAACCCTTACATATGCCTCATCTGACCAAGCAGCAATGGACAGAAGATATACAGCTATAATTTCCTATCAAAACAGAGTAACCAAATAAAATTGGATAAAAGATGATCTGCAAAGTAACTGTGGAATGTTCTGACATGGTGTTAAGGATACAAGGAACAAATCATTTGAGAACAAAATCCTTACAGAAGTATGCTTCTGAACAATCCTGCACCAGGACTGCCAAGTTCTAACTCTGACTAAGCCCATGCTCCTTTTTCCTTGTCCACCACTTTGTCCTAATTCTATTCGAACAGACTCACCTTCAGATCCAAAGATCTGACTGTGGTGTTGGAGCAAAGACCATGCAACAGAAGTTTTACACCTGAGGGGGGAAAAAAAAAAGTTCATTTCATTCGTGGAGCCCTTTGCCCAAGCCAGGAGTGTATCGTCCTGTCAAACAGCCAGCTCAGGAGATGTGGCTGCAAGAAACGAATAACTTGGTAAACGACCACTGCTGCTGGAAAGCGTGAGCCTGAGTTTTCGGGGCAGGAGACTGTTTACACATTCTCAAAGAGGTGTCCGGGCAGAGCTCTCTGCACGTCAGCTTGCGCACCTGCCTGACCCAGCCCTGAGATCAGCCCACGCCTGGAGAGGCCCCACAGCCACGACAGTGCTGCCCCGGAGCGCCCTCGCTGCCGGCTGCTTTAACCAGCCGGACTGTCCCGTCCGCCCACGGCCAGAGCAGAGCCGCCTTCGAAGAGGGATGGAACCGAGGGGTGCTCGACCACCCACACTGTCATAGGCCAGACACCCTCACCGTCCTGAGACAGGAGCGACCTCCCGCCCCGCCGCCCGGTCCCCCGCTCGCCGCCGGCAGAGCGCGGAGCCGGGCCCCTCCCGCCGGCCCGGCCTGAGGGGGCGACGGGGGCGCCCCCGGCCCGAGCCCCGCGCCCACCTTCCTCGCTCAGGCCGCAGTCGCCGAGCGCCAGCGCGGCGAAGGGAGCGGCACCGGGCAACAGCCGGCCCAGCGCGCCGCACGTCTGCAGCGACAGGCTCTGCGCCGTCAGGTCCAGGCGGGCCCGGGCCCCGCCGGGCTCCCGCAGCCGCCGCAGCACGGCCTCCTGCGGGGCCGCGCCCGCCGCCGCACACAGCCGCGCGTACTCCCGGCGGAACCGCTCCATAGCCGCGGCCGCCCCGGAACCGCTCCGTGGCCGCGCGTGCTCCCCCCGGCCCCGCTCCATGGCCGCGGCCCCGCCGCGCTCCGCCCGCCGCGCCGGCCTGCGGGAGGCGGGGCCGGTGGCGCGCGAGACATGGAGGAGCGGGACGGCCGCGCCGGCGGCTTCAGGAAGGTGCGGCGGGGCGGGGCGGGGCGGGGGGCGCTCAGTCCCGAACTCGGCCCCGGGCGGGGGGGTTCGGTCCTGCTCATCTCGTCCTCTCTCCGCGCAGGACACCGTGGACCGGCTGCTCCGTCTCCATTTCCGGGACGGGAGGACACGAGGTACCGGGGCAGCGGCGGGCGGTACCGGGAGGGCCCGGGCGCGGCTAGCTGGGCCCCCGCCTGCCGTAAGCGCCTTGTCGTTGCAGTGAACGGCGACGCGCAGCTGCTGATGGCCGAGATGCTGAACGTCTTCGTCCGAGGTGAGCGCACGGGGTCAGCCCGAACCGCCCTTTGGGCCCGTTACTGACCCGCCCCAGCCTCCTCCCCGAGTACCCAGCACTTAGTCTCATCCCGTGCTGCGCCAGCTCTGCTGTCTCCTGTGCAGCCAAAGCCCAGACATCGCTTCCTGCACTCCTCCGGGCCACCTCCTTCCCAAGCAACCAGCTCGGCCCCCCGGGCGCGACCCCCTCCCTCCCTAGCAGCTCCCAGACCCCTCTCATTGCCCTCGGCTTTCCCTTGTCCTGTAGAAGCGGCAGCACGGGCAGCGCGGCAGGCTCAGACAGAGGACCTGGAAAAGGTGGATATTGAGCATCTGGAGAAAGTGCTACCGCAGCTGGTATGTAACTGTAGGCTTGAAGTGCACGGGAGCAGGAGGAGGATGGGAGCTGAAAGAGCATAATGCTCTTCCCCTTGGGAGATGTTTCAGAAATCTGGCCTATGTGCTGACTGGCTTGCTGCTCTCTCCTTACAGCTTCTGGATTTCTAGAGGCCTCCTGAAGCATATTCTGCCTGCCAGCAGATGGTCCTGACCTGACAGCAAACATCTGTCTCAACCTCAGAGTCCAGCTCTGGGAAAAACAGTTTCAACTTTTTTTTCCTCTGTCGTTTTGCTTTTGTTTCCCCTCTCTTTACCAAGCACAGTACAGCCCATAGCAATGATGCTGTCAGATACTATTTTTGAGAAGAGGCTGTCATAGGCTTGTTTTGTTAAGCTGAAAATGTAACTGGTTTCCATCTTGCTGCTTTACTCCTGTAACAGGGGCATGTACTTCACAGCGTGGTAAGATGCTGTTGCTTTCTCAGCTAATGTGAGAAACAGGTGCTGCTTCACACAGATGCACGGAAAGACTTAATGACTGGAAATACCATCCAGCCTTCAGGCTCTCCTTGCCTCAGCAGGCAGCTGTGACAGCAACTCTAGGTCCAGCTCCAAGCCTGTCTAATGAATAGGTTGTTAACAGGAGCTCAGTCACAGGCTCTTGCCAAGAGCAGGTAACTGATCTTTATTTTATAAATAAACAGTGTTTGTCTCTCACTACCTTCCAGTATTTCTCTAGGGCTGTGACATCAAAGAGTACTTGGAACCTTTTAACCACTTGATATTCTCAGAAGCTGCTTCCCCTCTGCTATAAATTTGTTCTCACAAACATCAGTAAGTTAAAAACCCATCTCCCTCCCTTTGCTGTAATTAATCATCAAAAGTCAAGTTGCTTCAAAGACTTGAAGAGTTTCCCCCTCACTCACCCTCTTCTCTAAATCTCTGTAGGACGAAAGGAAAAAAGGACAAAATAACACACAGCATGTGTGAGAATCCCACATCATGGGACAGCCTGGCCCCTCTGGCAGTGGGGGGAAGGAAAGGGGGGGAGCGGGGAGCAGGGTGGCGCTATGAAATAAGAAACCTTACACATGTGGGCAGGACCCACACAACCCAACTGGCTTTGTTGCAAAATGCATGGCCCCTGCAGGAGCACCACTGATGGGCCATGGCTTGGGGCCTGTGCTCCTGCTGTGGGATCAGCAACAAGCAGTCCTGTTCCCAGGGACAGCTGTGGCAGGCAGAGGCTCGGTAGGTCCCTGTACTCTTTTCAGCCAGGAGCTATCAGGGTCATCTCTCAGGACACCAGCCACTTGGAAACTTCATGAAAACCTCAACTTAATACACATTCTTACGACAGTACCAGCTTAAGCAGCCCCCAGTGGCCCTCTGCCACTCGGCCAAGACAACTGTTTGTGCAGCTGTACAATGCACCCTATGAAGGAACTGACCTAGTTCAGCCTTCAGCCCCACAACCACTGGTAAAAAAAAAAAGCAAGAGCAAAACAATGCAACTAATGCTACCTTTGAATGCCCCAAAACCCCAGGGATGAGTTCAGCTGTTATAGCAGAAGTTATACTGAAACAAAACCAGCTCATCAGGTACCTGCAGGTACTGTTCTGCAGTAGGACCGGAATCCTTGTAGCAAGCAGCTTAGTGAAGAGCCTGCAGTTCTAAATGTCAGGGCATCTTGTTCCCCTTAAAGAATGCAATCCCACTTTCTTGCCTTTTCCAGATTTTAGATCCTCATCTCTCCCTCCTCTCTGACTCCTACTGACACAGGTCCCACAGCTGCTGCTGTAAAAAAGGGTCGAATTCCCTTCGCTGACACACACACACAAGCACTGACTCAAGAGAATTGCTGATGTGGACATTGGTAGAAAAGCAGCATTTTAATAGCAGAAACAGCTAAAACTAACTCTTCTTTGCATAGGGAAGAGGAAAAAGACCTCTGATCTAGCTGTTAAAGGTATTGATTTTTCGTTCTTGTGCTTATACTGGGTTAGACAGCAATATGAAATCTAGTCCTCATCCCTGCATCCCCTTGATCCATGAAACTGCCCCAGGAATACTGATATTGCTGCTTGTATCCCTAAACTACTACTGTTTTCCCACCTCGGGTAGTTGCAGGTGACAGTTACAGTGCTTGCTCTTTATGAACCTGGCAGAATCAGAACAGCTAAGCAAATTGGCACTATTTGATGTCTCCTGTGCTCTTCAAAAGACAAGGACAAGCACATCTGAAGGCACACTGCAACTTCTTCCAACTTCACTGCTGCTGCTTATTCTAACCCTGGGAATCAAAACCACCGCAAGTATTCCCCCACCTATCACTAGCAATGGCTTCTAGTTTCCCCCCAATATATCCTGCATAAATTCAGCAAAGCAGCTCTAGCTGCAATCTGCCCCTGACTTGTGTGACATGAGTAAGCCTGACACAGCACCTGATACAGACAGTCCTGTGGAGGGTAGGCTCAGTCCACACTTAATCCACTAGAGCAATAAAGTTTAAACATTATTTTAATGTTTTTTTGCTTTGCTGTGGTATGCGTTTTATAGCCTGTCAAGGGCCAGACGGGCTTGCTTTCCACAGGGAGGATTTAGAGCAGCAGCTGTACATAGTGCTCTCACATTCCCCACTGCCAGTGGCCGCACACATTCCTGTTTATGTTTGGGTGTCATATAAGAAATCAATCAACTTTTTTGGTAAAGCATTTTGCTCCCTCTGCTTTGAGTCTCCTTTTTCCTCTTCCACCTTTCTTTCATGCCTCTCCCTCCCTTCAAGTTTCTTCAAAGCATCTAGGAGCATTTGGAAATAATTAGACCTGAAGGGAAATGTTGGCCAGGCTGGGAGACAATGACAAGTGCCAGGAACCCTGGGTGCCCTTTCTAGCCACTTTGAAGTTCATTCAGATGGTACAAAGCTCCGTTTTGCTTTGTTGAAAAAAATGGGAGGAAGGGAATGAGGCATGACAGGCCCATTGAAAAGAGAGCAGGTTCCTGTGAACTGACAGAGAGACCAAGTGCTGGGGCAAGAAACATTATCAAAGGGACCGACTAAAACGGCTCCCACAGCCACCCTGCTTTATTACATATACAAATTGTGCAGATGTGCATGTAGTGCAGGGAGGAAACAAGGAAAACGGGAAGCATGGTATTACCATACCACGGAACCCCAGCTCTGCATAGACCACTGATCCATGGAGAAGACCTCAAATAGAATCCAGCACCATGGCTGCCGTGGCACTACAGAGTTCATCTCCAGTGTAACGGCAATTCTAACCAACAGCATTCATCCCCATATGATGTCTGCAGAAGGCAACAACCCGGACTGGGGCTTTCCCCCAGTACGAGCTGTGGTGCAGGGCACGGCCACCCTGTTCCAGGAACACTCAAACCACCAACCAACTGTCATGGGAAGAGACCCTTAAACTGGATGGCTTTTTCCTTGCTGTAATTACTGGTGTTAATTATACAAAGTGAAAATAGAACTAGAGCTTAGGGCAGAAATAATCGCAAGAGGCATTCCACGAACAGATACCTGTGTTCTTTGTTAGTAAGATTCTGGCAACTGAACACAAGTGCAGCAGCCCAACAGGTTCACAGGAAAGGCTAACTGAACTGGTTTAAGTGACCTAAGGGCTTCCTCTTCATTCGCTTTCCAGGCATCTATATCCAGAATTATCAGCAGCACTAGCCCCACCCAGCAAGAAGCAGAGAGAAGTCTTGTTTTAGGCATCACTTAACAATAGTTAAAGCTGAACCAGATCGTATCTTGC